TTGACATATTTAATTAATATCTTGCGATATTGAGGCAACTCCGTGATAAAGCACATGTAAGTATGCCCAATTTGTAAAAAAAATAAAGGATTTGTTGGAATGTTCGGTACGTACATGACGAGTAGCGACAGTCGAGTTTATTTCTCGCTAGGACAATAAAGCGACAAAACAACGTACACAGCTCCGCAGTTTTAACTAATTTCCGCAAATTAAAAAGTACTCTTTGGTGTTACTTGTTGTCGTTATTGAGGGTGGGTGTAATGCTATGTAGATTATCATTGTATGGAAAACAAGCTAAAACAATCAAAGCCGAGTGATTTCGACGCTTTAAGGAGTTTGTCGTTACATCGAGTTTACACTATAATTTGGAGTGATAATAATGGAAGATTTAGAATGTTATTAAAATGTGTGATAAATCAAAGACTTTTTTTAATAATATTCTGCAAGCCTATTTGGTCACTTAAAACGATAGGATAGTTAGGATATTTTTCAAAGATTAAGATGTTTATGTCGCAAAGTTGGATTATGTACCGAAATTATATTTATACGAAATAATTCTCTTTCTTAAAACATGACTAATTCATACTCACATCCTTCCTCTTAACGATGGTCTCCCTCTCTGGATGTCCTTCGAGTACCAGTCTCTCAGCCAGCTGATTCACTTCGGTAACGCGGTACTCTTGCGCCGCCATGTCCTTTTGGAACTCGTCAAATTTGCGCTGGAGGACCTCAACATGTTCCAAATCCGAGCCAAATTCTTCCGCACATACAAATGTTTCCTGTACAACATTAAACTATGAGAACATTTTACATTAACATCCAAACCTACGCAAGTCAAGAAAAGACTTAAGTAGATGGCATTTAATCGTGATATAGTCCCATGTTTTTGAATAATAAATAATGTCTTGTAAGCATCACACTGTTAAATATGTCTAAAAATAAATATATCAGATTTTTACTAAACCAGTAATACCAGCATCAAACCTACCTTGTCATGAATCCAAAACATGACTTCATCGCAGTGCCTCAAGAATTGTACAAGCACCAACGCCTGCTGAAGTTTCATTCCCTTTTCAGCAAGGCGAGAGAGCAGAAGCTCCCACAAACGGTGCAACTCATCCAAACGTTTGCGAATGGTGTCAGACGCAAAGTGACCGGCAGAGATCATCTCACTACCAGTGTTGTCCAGAACAACGATAGCATTGGAATGAGCAGCTACTTCGGCCTCAAAAGCTTGGTGTTTTTGGATCTTAGCCTATTAACAAAACAAAATGTTACTATTGCATGCATTGAGATTTCTTAATTTGGGCCTTGGAACTTGCTATTTCAAATATTAATCTGGAAAAATAATTTCTTTCAGACTTACTTCGCAAATTCTCTTATAGCAAGCTTTAAAAAGGAAGCCTCTAAACTTGTGTCAACCAATCATAAGACAAATATTTTAATGTTTACCTTTTTTTTTTGCAATTTGTAAAGTATGTTTAGAAGGATTAAGGGCGGCCTATTTACAATCAAGAGCGTGTTAGAATAATACCACTTGAGTACATATACGAGACCGAAATTTTATTGCAATGTAATTAACACACTGAATTGATTGAACTGATAAAAAACACCTTCGTCGAAATCATAATATGAAAAGTCGAACGTACCTGCAAGTTGGTGGGGTCTTTGTAGCTCTCATCGCTAGCAGCCTGCAATTTCTCCTGAATCCAGGATTCAAGCTCGTCAGCATCACGCTTAAAGTATTGGAAGCGTCGGGAGTCTTCCAATTTCTCACGCTTAGCGCGAGCCTCTTGCTTGAAGTCTTCATAACGATTCAGAACCTATGTGTTTAAAAATAATATAAACATTCAAATTATATCAACATTATTGACTAGGGTCAGCTAGTAGAAGCCAGCATAAATATGACCGTCGTCGATGTTGCGACCACTATAATCGTTGATATTAAACGGCAATACATTCAAGAAAAAAGTGTCTAGGTATATCCTTTTGTTTTTATAAACGCCATAAGTTTTTTTATGTTTTCTTTGAGAAATACAGTTAATCCAATTCATTCTCTATTAATATAATATTAGTTGTGGTATATCAAATTAGGTTAATGATAATGGTAATCCATTGCGGGTACTTAAAATACTATTATTGGTTAATAGTAAAACAATTTAATTAATTTAAAAATATTAATATTGAACATTAAAACGTGACGCTAAATTCAATATATATCGTGTTGAAACTTGGATTGTTATTTTATACATAATTTTGTTTGTACACAATTTGTTACAAGTACCTGTTCACGTCGTTCCTGAATGTCTTCAGCTGTCTCGAGGATCTTCACCTCTTTGGGTGGTGGAATCTGCTCCATGTTGAATACAGTACCTAAAACAAATAAAACTATAAATAATTTATTTAATTTTTTACTTAAGAACTTTTCATACACAAATTTTGTATTTAATACAATAATTAGCAATCAATTTTTATTGAAAAAATTTTTAATACACAATAATAATTGCTTTTCAAAATAGTCACGTTTTTCTACTCAATTATCTTCAAGGCTAATTTGTACACATGACAAATTACAATAAAAAATTACCACATATATTTCGGAAAGCTTAAGATATTCTAACTTTGCAAGAGACAAATATTCATCCAAAAGTATCTGATATTTGTCAATGTATAGGCTGGAGTAGCTAGGTTTATCTGTAGTCTACATACCTCAGTATACTAGTCTAGGTATGACTAAACTCAATTATTCTAACATCCTCGAATCCCAATGGCATGCTACAATATAATACATACTTCCTCTAGGGATTGTTCAGTTGTATAAGTAGAACAGATGTGATTTAAGTTTATTGTTAATATAATGATTCAGTGGAATCTTATTAAAACACAAATATACTAAAATAGATGATGAATAATAAATATCTTAGATATCAACCTTTCACCACAGAATTTTGTGCCCATAGATAAAACAAGAATGCAATGAGTAATGCATCTGTTAAATTTTATTATATAACACTACTACATAATATAAAACAAAACGTTCTTCTTTTGACTGTGTAAATAGAATAGAATTATAAGATAAGATAAAAACACACCAACAATGTAAACCTCCTTGTTGGTGATTTATTACATGGGAACTTTTACAGGTCATACTAGCATGAATACGAAAAAGTTTCTAAATAGTAATAGTCTCTGGTTTGTTTATTTAAAAACCTCTTCATTAGCAAGCTACTAACAACCCTGTTGCAAGTCATTGAGTACTTAGATACTGGGTTGCAGGTAATAAGTCCTTAAAGCGTAAATAAAGGTCAGTCACTATTACATCACACAACCTTGTGACTCATCTGGATCCTTGATCATTTGGTAATCAACTGTTTAAAACAGTCTTTTCAGTGTTATACATATATATTTATAGTATTTTAAGGAATAATAATTACACTATAATAAAATGTAGTTTCAATTACATATTGTAGAAAAACTTGTAAGTATGTCAAGAATCATTTAACAGAACTATAGAACATGCAACAAATAAGTAAAAATAAAGTGAAACAACTGTAATTCTTAATTAAAGCCATGTATTCTACCAGTCTACGCCATTTAGGTCACATATAGGTGGGGCTGACAACAGCATTGCAGGCATAGAATTGCATTATTAATTTAAATTTCACTTTTACTTAATTTTCTCATAATTTACAACTCTGCTAGATATATAGAATAAGAAACTTAATTAAAATAAAATGGTGTATATATACATAATAAAAGACATAAATATGTATGAATTATTTATGATACATTTCAGTTAATAACGGAATAAAAGATTACATATTAAATGTTTGATAATTAAAATGTGTAAAATAAATATATATAAAAAAGAAATTCCCATTACTTTTATTTTTAAAACTACTCAAAGCAAATAAAGTAATCTAATAAGATAAACCCATTACTTCCACTATGTTTAGTAGGTCATCTGGTTCTAGAGAAGATGACTATGGCTAATCAATAATTTTACTTAATCTGGAATCTTTACCATATAAATTTTAAATTAAAGCTATGAATAGCAGTGGTCAGTCTTGATTTAAGGAACCACTGATTGTAGCTCATATCTGCAAACTCAACGAAAGATTATCACAAGTACCGGCCTACCTACCTATAGGTGCACTTCCCAACTTATAAAATGACGTAATGCCCCAAAATAAACCTTAAATGGATAACGGGCGGCGGAGTTTGTTATATTGAAACATAAAATAACTATATATAACAGTATGGATATTTTAAAAACGTTTAACTCTAATTTAATTAAACTAGGTGGGTCTAAGATTACTGGGACATATAAGAAATACATGGATTTCAATGATTAAGATGGGTGTGTCAGATAATGAAATGTTTTTACCAAATGAACAGTTAAGCAAACATTAAGTTGAGAATTAATTGTAATTGTACTTACTGTATCAACAATATATATAAATTTATGTAAATAATGAATTTAAACACTTTCCACAACAAAAATTATACAAAATATCGTTCGTTCGACATCCGAGCCGCGTCACTGAACTATTGTTGCCAGTTGCCACTTACTTACGACTTGCCAATTGCCAGTAAAGTTAAAACAGTGTTGCTAGACACCCCGAATAGCTATCATGATGTTGTAATATATTTATATTTTATAATTGTTACAATACAGTCGAAGAAAATATATTGAACGGGCAATATAATAATTAAAAACAAAGGATATTTAATATTTTTTACTTTCCTATTTATATATCTAGCTATGTTTGGTAATATATATTACTATCTTACAGTTAAATAGCATACATTAGTTAAAATCTGGCCACACCGGAATTCAGTTGTCAAAAAGTACTTGTGCGTTATGGTTGGAGTTATGTTTGTTGTATCAATTTGTGTGTCAATTATTAATTAACCCTTGTTAAAATGGTCTGTTGATTATTAAAAAGCAGAGCTTAGTTCAGAAACAATCGATGTTAAGTGTATTTAGTGTGTGAATCATGGCAGCTGGTGGCGAGGATCTATGGCGCGAGTGCGCGGGTTGGCTTACTAGATGTGGATTATTACGGCCTGACCATAAGGCGAATTGGGATACAAGCACTATACATGATTTGGCTTATACCTTGCGTGATGGTGTCTTGCTATGTAACCTTCTGAATGTCCTGCACTCTGGCTGTATAGACATGAAGGACGTTAACCAGCGCCCCCAGATGGCCCAGGTACTTCGACCTTCATTCTAATTTACATTTAGCCGCCAAAACCTGCAATAATCACATATTGCTGACAGTTAAATTAGCTAATTTGAAATGCCTACGTACAATATTACTCAACATATTTGTCATAAGTAATTAGAATAATTACCATTGTTTTAGACTTTTGCAATTAATTTAAAGCAAGTACATTAGATTACACTTTAATTGATTAAATTAGCATGAGAAAATGTATCTAAACATTCATATTATTTTAATTAATTAGGGCTAGCTAGAAGTAATAGCATCATCCCATTTAAATCCTAGTCTCTAAAGTCAATAAAGTAGTAAAACTATTGTTTAGTAGTGATGCCTTGATAAAATATTATCAATGGCTGCTGCTTACATCAATAATAAATTTAAAAAAAACCTCTATTCAAGAATTTACGAAAACAGATTACTTTGATAATATATGAAATCCCATGACACTAAGTCTATATGAAACTGGTGTCAGTCAAAGCAGATTCTACGCTAAACTGTACCAGAATTTGACTAAGATGTAGGTCTTGTCTTTTGGTCAGGATAGCATCTTGAATGTTTAAAATTACTTCAAAAGCGTATTAATAATTCCCTAGTATATCATTAAAATGCGAAGTGGGTAACAATAGCAATTAAAATTTAGTGAAATATTACATTAACATTTGTATTAATAATAATTTTTTCATCATAGATTTCACATCCTATGAACCATACAGAATGAATATAATGATTATGTAGAATAAGTTATTTGTTACATTATAACCTATGTATATATTACAATTTATAATTAGTTAAAAGATTTGAAACATCTGATTTATTACTGAATCAACCTGTATCTTTTCCAGGTAGAGATAATAATACCTGTTTTATTAAATTGGGTTGTTGTAATAATCATATTTAGTGAGCCAAATTTGTATGTTGGTGAAACAAGCTGAATATAATTATTAAGAAATATGAATTATAATTCAAATTAATAAAAAATATATATAATTATATTGAAATATAATTATGAAGAAATATTACTATTAAGTTAAATAGATCTATTAATATATCAGCATTACCTATTTTTCTACTATTAAAAAATAGGTTATGCTGTTTAATTTAAAGTGCTATATATATATATATATTATATATATCATAGTTCAGCTCCTCAATTTTTCAATCTTTAAATTCCATAAACAAAGTATGTATAGCCATGCCAATAAACTGATTATTTTTAACAGTTACATAATTATTGTGCCAGTTCATGAATTAGATAATTCTAATACTACTTTATGTGTAAATACAGTGTTGAAACAACAACAAAAACATGTTTTCTAATATACTTAAAAGAAGTTCGGAAGTTATTCATCAACAGCACCATTAGTCAATTATCAGAACTAGCTAATTAAAAAAAATAAAGTGGAATTTTAAAAGATAAACATTTTCGCAAAACATAATCTGATAGCTTTTATCTGAGAATTCTTCAAGCAACAATACACCCATTTTTCTTGAAAGTGACAAGGCTAAATGGATATATGATATCTCAATAACACATTTTTCTTTGAAGTCAACCTTTAAATAGAAATGATATCTAAGTGTATAACAAACACATCTTCTTTTATTAATTTTCTTAGTAAAGTTTTTAGACATCAGTTAAAAAATCTGAAGGTTCACTTGTTCATATTTTGTCTTCTTCAATTTATAGAACAAATCAGCTAAATCAGGTGTGACACCAAGTTTATCAAGAACTTACATAGAACTCAAAGTTTTTGTATGTACACGCTAATCTCCGAAACTACAAAATCGATTCTTTCGCTGTTTTTACAAATTGATTCAGTTTATTATTGCTAATGTAACGTTTAGGCAGAAACTAATTATTATACGTCAAGTTGTATCTGTTTAACTAACTACAGTCGCAACAACGTCAATTTAATACAAGAAATCGACGTTATTTTAACATCATTCTTTTTCAGTTCCTGTGCATGAGAAACATAAAAGTATTCCTAAGGACATGCCACGAAGTTTTTGAATTGCGTGAGACGGATCTATTTGACCCATCCATGCTATTTGATCTCTCAAACTTCCACCGAGTACTCTGCACTCTTGCCAAACTCAGTCAGTGTCCAAAGGCCTTGGCTAAAAGTGTAAAGTAAGTTTTTAATTATTATTTTATTAATAATAAGCTTAACACCTACAGCACGATTTATAACTAGTTTACGTGGAGCATGACAGCAAAGCTCCGAGGCAGCAAATTCTTCAGACTTAATTGTATTATTGGGAGTAATAACCTACCTTATAATTGAATTAATGTAACAGTACACGTAGACCACTGTATAATGTGTAGTGCTGACAACTGAAATCGCATACCTACAAGTTCCAAAGTAGTCTGGTTAATTTTGTAATAACGTAAATATTTCATAATATAAGTTAGGACCTTAATCTTGATTACATTTAAAACAAACTTACAAACAACTCTTTCAGACCATTCTCGGCAAACAGAACACTATCAGAAGAGGATATTTATAAAGATCTACAATCTGTGTAAGTAAATTATTTTTTTAAATCTCAAATTATTAAAATGAGTTAAGCTATATACATTTATTAGTGCGAACCAATCCCTGGATATACCGCCCTCGTACGAGACGGTTCAGCCGCCGGCTTCGGAGGTGCCCTGGGTACAATTCACCATACCCAGCAGTAATTGTGAAGAGAGGGTTGAGGAGATATATGAGGATCTTTGTTATGTCAAGTTGAACTCGGAAGTACCTGAGGTGGCGATCTTATTAATCTATGCAAATCGTTTAGTTTTAACAATAAACGACAAATAAAGCGAGGTACGCTTGTAGATTGAGCTCTTACATAATTAACAAAATTATACCCGATATTAATGCGTTCTAGCAATTGATATAAATAAAACTAACGATTATTCTTCTAACAGACGTGAAACAGGTGTTTCGTGTTTAGCTTCTGGAAACGCAAAAACATTTTTCTCGGAAGCCTAACACTACTTTATTAGTTCTTAGTTTAGGATAATGTAAACTATTAGGGCGATAAGCGACCACACAGTATTTAAATTTAATTACTCTAAACTGTTGATGTTGAACACAGTTTTATTAAAATTATAAATCTTTCTTTTTAATTTATTTTATTATTACTTAAGATGTCATGAGGAGCCGGGTGTTATGGTTGCAGCTCCTTACAAACATTCCTTACAGAAAACTTGGCGATTAAAAAGGGTGGCGGAGAGTTTATTGCCAGTTCTTCTCTTCCGTGCTACGCTCTCGATATATATTTTTGACGTACATAAGTGTACATTGTGTTACCTGAATAAATGATTTTGATTTCATTATATAACTATAGTATATGAAAAGAAATGTTCGCTTAAAATTATAACTAGCAGTGCCAGTGTTTATCTTGTTAAAGTCGTGTTTAAGTCGATTGTTGGAACTAAACGATTTTGCACAGATATTTAATCGCTTGAAGCTCAGTTGGGTAGTGTGCTAAGCTTGGTGATTTTCAGTTTTGCGTGGTGCACATAGATTTAATAAATGTGATTAGAAGTTACTAGAGCTGGCAACACTAGTTTTTTTATGATTTTTGCAAGAGAACCCTTAACTTAAATCCGACTTAAAAAGGGATAATTTTTAATATAGCTGTTAGGTTGCTTGTTTATTTGACGTATTTGTTTTATTTATTTTAATTTAATGTAACCTTCACATCCACGTGATTTATATTTAAGACGAAGGAATTAACAGTTAAATGCTTCGATTTTTAATATATACTTATACAAATGTATCATATTATAATATAACCATAGTAAGTACGCAGTTACTCCTGCTTTAATTACTGATTGATTACTAAGAATGATGATAGACAATAATAAAACGTCTAATGGCAACGTGAAATTCTTAAAATATGTTCTCATATAAAAAATATTGTTCATGATAATAAAGTTCTTTAAATATAAATTCGATCGAAGCGTGATTATAGCCTTCTCTAATATATCACAAAAACATTGTTTTCATATCGAACCAGTTTTGACCAGTTCAAGCTAACAAACTCTCCAACCTTTTAATGCTAGTGTAGATTCCAAAGAGAGGACGGCGCGTACATTATACGAATAAATTATCCTTGACATGTAGTCTATTAATTTTGTAAATTGGACTATAAAATTTACCAAAAGACCTTGTATCTAAATGACAGTGCGATTCGCATCGATGGTTACATTGGATTTAATATACGGAAGACAATTATGTATTTTTTTGCGCGTATACTAGTATATTTTTTATAGAATATATTCTAACATGTTGGTTTGTAAGCATTGCTCCATTGGCGTTCAAGGAAAATGACCAGATTAAATTTGGACGAAACACAAAGCTTTTTACATCTACACTTAAAAATAATAAAAATACAATCGTTTTTAATTAATTTTCACTTCGAAATTCAAACGCTGTGTTTCTAGATTTATAATGTCGTAAATCGTCGGAATATACGCAAAGTAGATTAAATAATAATAAATAATCAGTGGCGCTACAACCTCTTTAGGTCTGGGCCTCCGATTTCTGAATCTGTTTCATGATCATTTTTCAATTTAATACGCAAGTAGGTGATCAGCCTCCAGTGCCTGACACACGCCGTCGACTTTTTGGGTCGACTTGTCGGTTTCCTCACGATGTTTTCCTTCACCGTTCTAGCGAATGTTAAATGCGCACATAGAAAGAAAGTCCATTGGTGCACAGCCGGGGATCGAACCTACGACCACAGGGATGAGAGTCGCACGCTGAAGCCACTAACACTGCTCACGCAAAGTAGATTATCGAGAAAAATTCAATAAAAAGGTTTTAAATAGCAGTTATGTTCGCATGTATGTATCGCAGAGATTATCACGAAGCGTCTAGCGGATACGCGGGAACTTATGGGCAGGCGGCCCCAATCTAAAAGGAAATACAGTACCTACAAGCCTTCCGTCCTAGTATGGTTGTCATTTGCAGAGTAGATTCGATTTTTAAACTAAATTGGAATCTATTGGTAGATTCTGAAGATTTATGTGCATACAATGCGAACATAATCTAATATATAAAATTCTCGTGTCACAATGTTCATTCCCATACTCCTCCGAAACGGCTCGACCGATTCTTATGAAATTTTTTATGCAAATTCAGTAAGTCTGAGAGTCGGCTACTATCGACCGTTCAAATCCCTAAATGTTAAAGGTCCACCCCTAAATTTTTATTTTTTAGATAATTTTTTTATGATATAGCATACAAAAATACATACAACCCGTAATTTTACCCCTCTACGATCAACCCCTATTTTTTATTTCGTAATTAAAATCTTATGACTTAAACTCTGAGGTTTATATAGAGAAAATTCACAGAAAAACCTAAAAAGTTTTCATTCCAGAAAACCGAACAGTCCCTGGGGTAGCATAGCAAAATGTTCCATGTTTGTATATACTAAAAAGGTAGGCTAAGTAAAATCACATTAAGGAGAAATGAAGTTCGCGGGGACAGCTAGTATAAGTATATCTTATTTCCGAACCAGAGCGACTTAGTCATTTATTAGCATATTAATATATAAACCACTTATTACACTTACGCGTGACCATGGGCAATGTTGTCTTATACCATCAGATGATCTGTCTGGCGTTTTACCGTTTAGAAACATATAATTTTAAGAAGTACGAATATTTTTTTTTATTAGTTATTGATTGTCAAAATGGTTATTATTTGATACTTAATATAGCGAAACAACTTTTCTCAGATATTGTCCGCTCGAGAAATATATTATTTAAAAATAAAAGGTGCCAACCCTATTGTAGGTTACAACTTACTGTGCGCCCACGTCGCAGTCGTGCCCGATTTGACGATAAAACCTGACCCAAATGTATGCACAAAGGAATAAATACAAAGGCGTCGTAAAATACTGTAAAGTCATGCTCACATGAATGAGTCCCATTAACACATTATTGAACTTGATCATGTCCCCTACTTCGTCTGTATATTGGATTAAAAAAATAAAAAAGAGTGTAAATAAAAGTACAAAGTACACAGGTCAGAAGTGAAACTTTTTTGACAAACTAATTTTTAACTCTTGTTCATATTTATACAAATCTAAAACTTTAGTTTTCCGAGACTTAGAGAGGGAATAAGGAAAATATGTTAGGAATTTAATTGTCATTAAAATATTATGTGTCGAAAATTATTACAAATAGTTAATTTTTATTTTTTATCCGATAATAAAAACACGTGGGATTTTAATTTGCAATTCGTAATTTGAGATTTCAATAAATTATTTTGCATAAAATATAAAACACTAATACATATTTCATAAATTCTCTTCACGAAATTTTAATTTTAAATTTTTTTCACTTCTCAATCGGTCTCAATCGCTCTCTCCCTTGCGACAAAAATGCTGCACATCTTCGTGACGTTTCGTAAAAAATTTACCGGAGAAGAAGTTTCACTTCAATAACGCCATGATTCTATTTTAAATTTTTGTTCGTAGTTTGTGTCAGTTTATCAATAGAAAAAAACTACTAATTACAAATACAACAGCTGGGGATAGTACTCGCTCTGATGATAATACTCTGATAAAATGTAGAATAACTGTGTGTGTTCACTTTTAAGTCGTTTTTAAAAGACATCGTGTACTTAGTATAGAAATGCGTGTATTAAAATGAAATACTGTTTATATCGGATTTAATTGTTAAATGTTCAATAACTTAAACTATAGGTTATCCATATAAACCATCATTATTTTATATTTAGTTCCAGCCCTGTTGTTCTTGATGTTACTCCGAGATTTATGGATTTGATGTATTTTAATTAAGGGAACCGTCCAATATTTTATTTAATAATCCGATAAAAACAGTATATGATATTTATATGGGCGTACAGTGGCGCGGGCGGTGCGTCGACTCGCGAGGTGAATGAGTACGCGAGCTACTGTGCCCGAATCCACGACGAAGAGATCTACCACGACCTGTGCGTCGTCAAGGGGACCGAGCCGCCCGCACCTCCCATCGCTTTCACTGCAGTGCGTGTTTTTTGTTTTTTTTTTTGCTATAGCGGAAGTAAAGATATTTTAAATTATAAGTTTATAACCAGATCTACATATATTTACGTTAAACATTCAAATGGCAGCACATAAATCTATCAATTAAAAAATAATGAGTTTAATAACAGTAGAAACGGGATCAATTGATGCATAAAATTTCGAATAAAATCAAAAGAAAATAAGTAAAAACCCAGCACGCATACGTAGAATTATTTATACGCTCATTACTTCCGCTATCTTTTTTTTTACGCCGACTAGTTGTTTGCCGTAATGTTAGCATTGCATAGAATGGTATTTCGCTAATTGCTTATCTGTGATCCATTAGGAATAACCATAGATTAGAAATCGTAATACATATTTATTTATTGCAGCTAGCGTCGTCCTCGCACAGTTTAGAGAAACGGGATTATGTTATACGCGAGTTGGTTGATACTGAGTGCAATTATGTGGACGTGTTGAGCAAAATAATTAAGTATTTCCTGAGACCACTTATGCCGTACTTGAAGCCGCAAGATATGCAAGTGATATTCTTCGGTGTTAAGGTGAGTGGAGTGCCGTTATGATTTATAGATCCTATAATCTTGTATACCTTCTTCATTTGTTTTCAATAATAAAAGCCGTATTTCTCTATTGAGACTATAGCCTGGCCTCGGATTTCTGTATCTGTTTAATATTTATAGGAATATCAGGGTATTTACTTTCTGTACCGGACACTGTGTTCTAATCCATTGATTGATGTACATGAATATTTGATGTATTGCATAGTTAACGCAAAATGGTTCTTAGATATCTGTCAAGGATAATAATAATAATAAGCCTTTATTTATCCACCTTATTTACATTTAATATACAGAAAATATATTAAAATTGTAACATTCTAAGATTCGGAGAAGAGACTTCTGAAACTTTTTCCGCCGTATTTTATTCCTTGCCGTCCTCATCAAATGTATACCTATAATAAATAGGCCGACGAGATTAAAAGGGTACCTGGCAAAAACTTGACGACGATGGCACAAAATACGGTGGAAAAAGTTGCGGGATACCTTCTCTTTCTATCAAGGATACAGTGCTTTTAAGATTACACACGCTGAAATAGAACAATTATTATTTCAGGATCTACACGAAATTCACACAGGACTTCTCCGTCAACTACGTTTGGCCACGGAAATGTGTGTGCCAGGCAGTGGTACGCCGAGGCTAGCTGATGTTTTTCTTGCGTGGCGGGAAAAGTTGCTGCTGTATGGGGATTATTGTTCGAATCTCACAACGGCGCAGGATACCCTCAAAACGCTGGATTCCAGGGACGGGACGTTTAGTAAACAACTTGCAGTAAGTTGTTTTTAAATCGAAAGTAGACAAGTGATATTTAGTAGTCTGGCTAATGAAAGAAGATAACGATAAAGCGCGCCAAATTCAAAACAATTTGGTATGGTATCCCTAAAAGTTTGATAAATTTCGTGAATTAAACTTAGTAACTGTATTTCTATGAAATTAAATCAATACGTGTTTAGTCTTTTACTATTGATACTTAAAATGTCTAGCATTGCATGGAAAATTAAAACTATATTTATTATAAAACACAACTTTATAAAATGTTGAAATGAATAATCAAATCCTGCGAAAGAAACGAAATATTATATCAAATAAAACAAAGTTTAGGCTATTATACCTGTTAACTATTCGGAAAAAATATATAATAGAAATAAAAATGAGTAATTGCATTTTCAAATTCAATGACATTCTGTGTTGCCATCCGAAAGTTTTCAAATAATTCAATTATCTTCTTTGATTAGCCAGACTCTAGTTTCTAAGTGAAATTTTAAGGAAGCTTCAAGCTTATCCAAATTTAGTTGAAATTCTTGTCATTCTATGTATCTCTGTATATTCTGAGCGTGTGATTGTAAATAAACTCCTAAAAGACTGGACCGAGTTGAAGATTTTTTTCCGAATCCACTTGATTCGAGAATGGTTTAGATTTTTTAAATCAAGACGTGTGTACAGGACAGCGTCTGTCAGATCCGCCAGTGTCATGTATAAAATTTCTAAAATATTCTGGTAGTACTTCAAATTATATAATAAATAAAATAAATAAAAATAAAAAATAAAATAAAATAGCCTTTATTGCTGTTTCTATCTTAAAATAATACTCATTAATTATTAATTATACATGCCTAACATAATTACTTTCTAAATACTTTTCTACTAAATTAAATTTAAATTACTTTCGAAGTACTAACTAAATTAAATTGGTTTAATCATTGTATGTTCGGCAACTGGATGTTTGTCTGGAACAGCTTGTCTGTCGACAAAGGCCTCCTCTAAAGATTTCCACGTATTCCTGTCTTTTGCTAAACGAGTCCATACCGGACCATATTATATATATATATATATATATTTTGTTGAAGTCGTCTTCCCATAATTTTTCCATGGTTCCTAGTGATCGGCAATTTATAGTTGCTATATATAGATCGTCATTTGTCTTCCTGTTATTTCTTATCTTTAGAGGGTCGTGGTCATTTCAAATTATATATTAACAAATAATTACTGAGAAATTATGAAATTCTAATAATAAAAATGATAATTTACATTTAAATGAGCCAGGTCTGGATATCCATAGTTGCTCCCCTCACACTTTGAAATCGATTATCGTTTAGATTTTATAATTTAATGGTTTTGTTTTTTATCTCTTCGTGTATGTTGCTTGCCTATAATTGCGTGTTACATTAAAAATTGTTTAGATTTTTCTTGTACAAATGTATCAGTGTGTCGATAGTTGTAACCTTTTATAAATAAATTTTACAATGAGCAAATGAAATATCTATGAATAAAGTTATCTCTAGCATAGTTTTGGGCTTGCATGTTTATATTTTAGTTACATATCGTCATAGTCGTAGAATAGTGACGGATCTAACAAATAGTAAAGGGCAGCCATTTCAAGATAATATAATCATGTTAGTTTTTGTCATAACTATTTTAATTCATATTTTGTTATTATGAAAATTGGCATACAAGCATACAAAAGGGTTTGTTTTGAAACAAAATAAAAATTATAACATTAAATTACAGTTTTCTAGAAACATGTCTTCTATCAAATCCGTCAATTTACCGACTGATTTATTTGAAATTTAAAACACATGGATTTTTTAACCGTAATATTTAGTCAATGTAGTATCCAAATATGATAAAAAGTGGATTTTGGATTTTTTTCAAATCCGACATTGTTCTACGATCATGACGATATGCAGATAAAAGAAGGATAGATTCAAGTTATAGTAGGATATAGTCTGTAATAATATGCCTCTTTGTTTCCGTAGAAATGTCAAAAAGAGCACAGCGACGGTCGTATACAGTTACGAGATATACTGTCAGTGCCGATGCAGAGGATACTCAAGTACCATCTGCTTTTGGACAAACTTGTGCAGGAGACACAGCCGGTATGTATAAGATATTGGCATAATTCCTGAGGTATTTCTAAAATATTTGGTTTTTTTTTTACTTTAAAGAGCAGTGCAAAAGAAGTGTTGGCCTAGTGGTTGATACGACTGTCGTCGATTCGAATCCCGACTGCACCAATGACTTTCTTTATCCGCTTTTAACACTCGCTTGTGTTGTGATGAACTTGAAAACTGGCACTAAGACTCGGAAGAAAATGGACGGCATGTATCAGCGATGATACATGCCGTAATATAAACATACAGAAATCTGAGGGCTTAAAATTTTGTAACCCGACTGGTTTTTTACACTTTCATACAATAAATTATAGTGAAGTGCAATATAACGCACATATGCAACATAATGCAAGAAATACAATATGAACACTACTTATCGTTGTGGTATTTTTACAGATTTATTAAATATTTTGTAAAATTATTAATGTTTACGCAATCTAAAATATTCGTTTTATTTATTTAGTATCGTTATTTCCTATTTTTACAGTATCTTAATACTTATACAATAGATAACTAAACTAAAAACAATATAAACAGATCAAGTAAAAACTTAAAAAATTAACCATTTTATAACTAATTATAAATAATGCAATTCTTGTGAATTCAGCCAGTGTGCAACTAAATATATCCATCTCACAAGCAATAGTGTTTAGGGTGCGCACAACACGCGTAAATGGTGCTTCTCTGAGTAAGTTCGTACGCGCCCGAGGCACTGCCAGCAATTGCGACCGCTTATCACGCCGACTGTGGCTATCGGCACACGCAGCCCCAGTCTCTCCAACATTTTCGCATTATATATTTTACCTGTAAGGACCTTAAAAAAATATAATGTGATAGTAAGGTCCGTTCTTACCTGTAATTTGTTGTATCCTACCGTACCCCAGACAAATTTGGGTACATTACTGGGTAAAATGGGTACACTTCATACAACCTCATGTATATAAAAATTACAGAATCACGAAGAATTCCGTGGACTAGAACGAGCGAAGGAAGCAATGGTAGACGTTGCACAATACATCAACGAGGTGAAGAGAGATAGTGAAGTGCTTGCTTTGTTGGCTAAAGTTCAGGTAATATTAACTTGTTTAATGTTCCCGAATGTGTTGGTCTTCTGGCTACAGCGTGTTACTCTCATCCCTGAGGTCGTAAGTTCGATCCCCGGCTATGCACGAAAAGACTTCTGTATATTTTTGCATTATACACTCACTCGTACAGTAACGAAAAAACATCGAGAGGAAACTTGCATTAGACCCAAAAATTCGAAGGCGTGTGTCAGGCCTATTAGATTGACAAAATATGACTATGAAACAGATACAGAAACCTGTAGCCTAGACTTAAAAAGGCTGTAGCCCCACTGATTGTTTTTTTTTGTCATAATTCTTATTCACAAAAATAATGATAAATGTCAAACTATTATGACGTAACTGCGTTGACGTACAGTAATTTCGACTGCGATCTCAAATACCACGACGCTTTTCTTTATTTAGACTCTAATAATCCCTGACTTCTTCTAGAACCATATACTAGGTATGTTTGTGATGTTTCATGTAATAAAAATATAGTTTGGTAAAGAAGTTTCAACTGGTGCCAATGTTATGAACATCTAAAATTCGCGGGCGAAATTCGAAAATGGTTGATATGTTATTTGAACGTTGTTTCACATATTAAGAGTCACGTGTTTTAGATATTAAAAAATGTTCAACATTCGATAGTGAAAAAATAATTTTCAAAGAAAGTAAATTACTATCTTCCTCTAAATCGATTCTTTACTCTATGGCCACATTCCAATCAATTCTTTATAACTTCGTTCGTGAAGAATAACACTAGAAACTGAACATAATAATAATATCTTCAAAATGCTAGAAACTAACCCCGAATATGTATATATATTAACAATATTTAATTTTCTTCTTAAATATTTATTAAATAGGTGATTTAAATTATTATTTTCATAGGAGAGTATAATAGACTGGGACGGAGCGGAGCTAGGGGCGGGTGGAGCGTTACTAGCGGCGTACGGACGCTTATTATTAGACGGAGAACTCAAGGTCAAGGCACACGAAGACCAGAAGCAGCGACTGCGATATGTCTTTGTGTTCGATAAGCTTATGCTCCTGTGTAAGCCAGTTAAGGTATTATCAAGAACTTATTTCAATATCACCTAGTTAGTTTTTTTTTAATGGTACTGGGGGCAAATGGACAGGAGGCTCACCTGATGTTAACTGATACCGCCGCCCATAGAGACTCAATGCCAAAGGGCTCGCGAGTGCGTTGCCGGCCTTGGCCTTAAATTAAGAGATTGACATCTAAATGCATGCCAAGTTCTATAAAACTATTTATACTACTATTATAAAATATTTGAATTGGCTTGTTTTTTGTCGCTAATAAGTTTACCCTTAAGTATAGCGTCTATAGTAATGTCTTCTTAAATTTTTCATGGTTCTTAACTTATATTTATTGATTAAAATCATAAGCAGTGATGGCTTCAGCTTGCGACTCTCTTCCCTGAGGTTGTAGGTTTGATCCCCGGCTGTGCAGCAAAGGAATTTATTTCGCTCTGACGGCGAAGGACAACATCGTGAGGAAACCGGCATGCCTTAGACCCAAAAAGTCGACGGCGTGTGTCTGGACAAGAGGCTGATCATCTACTTGCGTATTACATTGACAAATATACATCCCAGACCAAAAAAGGTTGTGGCGCCACTGATTTATTTATTACTTAAAATCCACTTTTTGGGACAAGCAAACGAGATTAAACCTACCCATGGAAACATGCGTCACCTGCCTTTGACTTGACATATTTTTTTAGGAAAATCAATACTCATACCGCGTAGGTATACGATTAGCCGAATACCGTGTTGAGGAAGGCTGTGGAAGAAGAACATTACGGACTGATTCGAGATGGGCCTCCCAGTTCTATCTTGTACGTCGGACAAAGGAAACGACGTTTACATTATACGCTAGAACGGATGAATGTCGACGGAAATGGCTAAAGACGATACAGGATGCCATGTGAGTACCACCCCCTGGTGTTTAGTGTGTTTGGTTATTAAAATATTGTTGAAAACGCATACAAATCTATATATATAAAAGAAAAATGGTCTTCGTTTGAGGCTCCTTCACGCCTAAACCACTGGAACATCGTATCGACATGAAACTACCACCATTCGATGCGAAATTTTTCCTAGATGGTTTATGGCTATTTATTTATTAAATTCCAACGTTACTTCATTTTTTTATTGCTGTTTTACTTTTATGAAAATTTATTCATACGGACTTCACCGCGGAAACATTCGGGGAGGCTTCCTAGAACCTCTAAACGTCAACATCTGTTAAAAACTCGATTTTTGAAATATTTCAATTTTCTTAGCGGGAAGTTAAAAAGAAGAATATTAAAAATATGAAAAAAAATAAAATAATGAAACATAAAATTTATTTTAATTCGTCCAGCAAAGCGGGCGCGAAACGGCTAGTATAATATATACTTCAAACTATTTTTTTAAATACTTTATATCTTCACGCGTGGGGTGAGCAGAGCCGGATCTCCACTTGCCCTGGTGCTTACGTCCCCTTTTAACCCACACTGCTCGGGTATCTCACTATTACTTACCTATTATATACTTTAATATATAAATAAAAAAGGAAACTAAAATTTCGCGTAGCAATTACTAGCTAACAGAATAATGATGTGTGTCATTTTCTAATAAACAACACTTTTTTAATTAACTATGAAAACTATGTGGTACTCTCCAGAAATATTAAAAAAAATAACTGGACCTATTTGAATATTATATTTCTTAATTGCTTCAACGATTTCAGTGAAATTTCATAAATTATTTTTAGTGACAACTTAGAACCTCCGGGGTGTCGAAATACAAATCACAAGTTTGTCCTTCACACATTTGAAAAACCAGCCACTTGTCACCATTGCTCCAAGTTTCTCAAGGGCCGAATATTTCAGGTAAGCATTAACAAGTCTTTAAACTCAAACTCAAAATAACTTTATTCATATAGGTAAACAAGTACACTTATGAACGTCAAGAAATTAACAAACGGCACAAATATAAGAGTCTTTCCTCCAACTTCAATTTTGTTCCCTTTGGAGTAGAGACTCTTGGGCCGTGGGGTTCAAGTGCACAGGCGCTTATTAAAGATTTAAGTTGGCGCCTGGTAGATAGTACCGGTGACCACAGAGCTGGCACTTTCCTGGCTCAAAGAATAAGTCTCGCAATACAGCGAGGAAATGCTGCCAGCGTTAAAGGTACACTGCCACAGGGACCAAACTTTTTAAATTTGTTTTGATTTTCTTCTTTCTTCTTTAATTATTTTTATTATTACTTTATAGGTTAAGAACATTGTAAATACTGTATTTGTGTAAATAATAAATAAATTAAATTAAAAAAAAAAAAAAGAAATAAGTTAAATTAATTGTAAATTCACATTTACTACCAGTTCGCAAGTCAAGTTCAAGTTCTAATATAAGCAGGAAATAACACTAGGCTCAAATGGAAATCTCGTGTGTGTGTCACATTTCCTACAATAATGTGTTTTGATTGATTATTTATTTACATGTTATTGAAAATGTAGATTTAGACCCAATACAGCTCTGTAGTTAGAGGAGTTGTCCTATACTGGTTATGTATATATACACATATGTGTGGGTGATATATAATTTGATTTCAATTAAAAAAAAATCGTATTCGCAGGGCTACCAGTGTTCCGTATGCAGCGCATGCGCACACAAGGACTGTATCGCGTTATCTGGGCGATGCGGCGGAGGCCTGTCGGTGGCGCCACCTCTGCCGCCGCACAGCCAACAGCCAGATCACGCCTTGCATTATTACATGTGGTAAAATTTGATGATGCTTTATTTGCTGCTGATATTGCTTTTCTTTGATTTTCATATTTGGTGATTACGTCACCAGTAATTATTTACTTTTTACACAATTACCCACACATTGTCTATGATTAAAAACGAAATGCATTTTCGAGGATTCCTAAAAAAATGATACGTTTAGGTACTATTCGTTTTAAGAACTTTTGCTAACAGGGGTTGGGGGGTTTAGTAAATCAGATTACGTAATACTTGAACGGCCCCTAAGTGCTTAAGTTTGGAGGTGAGAAATATTGTGATATATATTTTTCTTTCTTACTCTAAATAGGTACGTGGGCGAAATGGGTAGAGAGACAGCCACTGACCGCCTGGAGCGCCGCGTGGACGGGACCTTTCTGCTTCGAGTCAGGCCTAGGGCACCGCCACACCCTTCCAACGACACGCATTATGCCCTTTCACTCAAGTAACAACTATGTTATAATGCTAGATTTAAATAGTTGTATTCTTCTTGTAAACAAGATATTTGTTAATAAATACATAGGTATATGATATTCTATATTTCTATAAAATTTTACTTTGAACCAAAAGTCTAACTATGATTTGCAGGGCTGACAACACAGTGAAACACATGCGCGTCTGTCGGAAGCCAATAGACCAGGTACCACACTACTTCCTCTCCGAATCCAGATTCTTCCGGAGCGTTGTTGAACTCGTCACTTATTATGAAAGGGTCAGTCTCGCTGAGAACTTCGTAGGGTGAGTATTTTCTTCACTAATTCAGCCATAATAAATATATAATTAATTATATATATACATATATATATGTGTGTGTGTGTGTGTGTTATAATCCTGAAGATACTTGGGGGAGGCCTGCAGAAGGGTTCTAGCAAAATAATTAGGAAATAGATATAAAAATAGGAAAATCTTAGTGTTTATTTTCTTTTAAAAAATATATCTTTATTTATATAATAGGATTAAGTTTACTTTGTTATTTTGCAAGAAATAAAAAGGCTTTTTTATTTTATTAATTTAAAAAATTTAAAAAAGAAATTGGTCACACTACATAGAACCATGTACATATTATAGAAATTAAATTAATATAATTTTTTAATGTTCCAGATTAGATTCTAGTCTGAAATGGCCCTTCCGTCGGGTTGTCGCCACAGTTATCCACGACTTCCGTCCCTTGGAGTCGAGTCAACTGTCACTGCGGCCCGGGGCCAAGGTTCTGGTTCTGAGTAAAGAGGGAGACAGCCGCGGATGGTGGAAAGGACGGATACTAGACAAGGTAGTAGTACTCTACTTGCTACTAACACTACTAACGCTTTAGTACTATGGCATTCGTCCGTTTCATTTTGATCATTCATTAATTATTAATCATTATATCCATACATTAATTTCACCTACAATTATTAGGTGGTTCGTAGGCTAACAAATAAAATTCTTTGATAGAATTTGATTTAATTATTCAATATGTAGCGGTTATACAATTTTTCGATACCATTTTATAGTACGATTTGTCTTTTGCCTCAAAATAGGCTTCAGATTCGGCGATTACCTCTTTATCAGCGCAAAATTTATTTAAAAACAAAACTAACATTAGTAAAGTAGTGCTAATTATTTGAATTGAAACGTAATTGTCCCTTCATTAATAAATATATATTTTAATTTTTTGTTTCACGAAAAATCTCAGTATACCTCTTACCCGTGATACAATAGTATAGCAAGGAAATCCTGGAGGGAGAAAAGGAACGTCGTTTCATACTGATTGATCAATCCAACCACACGCAATTCATCTGCGTTTTGAGTTTTGACAAATCTCAATCAAACGGTACTCGCTATTGGTCGTGAGACTTTGAGGATGTTCTTCCAATGGGAATTTACAATAATTACAAGTTAAAAATTCAATAACCAACAAAGCCAAGCCAGAATACTGAAACCATCACGGCAATAAGAGACAATAAGAGACATGGGAGTACGAGGAGCCCAATTGAGTTTTCGGAATCACATAGTGGAAATTTGCAAGAATGCATACAAAAGAAAGTGATTTGTGTTTGAAGGGCAACAACGTTTATTATCATTAAGGCCTTCTCAAGCTTGTACAACGCATTGGTTAGGCGTATGTTAGAGTAATTCGTCTGTTTGGGCTCAGCATTAAGCAAAACACTGTCTTATGTTGGAGCGCTTACAGAGTAAGTTTACATCGTTCCCGTACTCTAATAATAATAATAATAATTTATTTATTGCAAGAATATAGGACAAAAATCCCTACTATGCCTTAATGCACCCAAATTTATTTGTCTTGGTACGGTATAATAAATTTGAAATAAGACGGGACTTAGTCTTGCGGGGGGTGGTGAGCAACCCAAGTGTTCTTCAAGAACTCTGGTTGTTTACACCTAGAATAAAAAATAAAAATATGTTTATTGTCGAATAGAAGATACAGGTATCACTTATTCCACTAGACCGTATGAATATGTGCGACGGCGAAGCCAATCGTTTGCGATACCAAGCGCCAGAACCAGTCTGTTGCACAGGTGCCAATTATCATAGACATTGCGTACTGAATGCTGTCTCTGACACTATCGACATCTTTATATTTGCGGAGTGAGTTTAGAGTAGCGATACTGTGTATTTTATTATATTTCATTTTTTGACATCATCGTAGTGGTTTAGTACTGTAATAATAGTGTTTGTGTATTTTGTGAATAAATAAATATATTTTATAAAACATTTAATTAATTATAATATACTAGCTGACTCGGCTAACTTCGTTCCGCCTAACAGTCTGATAATATCGTGTTAACTTTATTTAAACATAATTTAGGATTTCATTAAGGTAATAACATTAATACAACTTTTTTTGCAAATACAGAAATGTTTTATTGCTTGCCATTGCGAAAGAAGAATAGCAGTTTTACACATTAGGTCTCTTCTGTAGCGCCAATATTTCGATATAGCATGTTAAAGCACTTTCTGATATACAACATTTTTTGATGAGGTAACACTTCGATCAAGATCAAAGCCCGATTATGCGTATAAAATGATTCGTAATTTTGTCAACAGATGGCACCACATACTGTTTGCATTTGTAAAATTAGTTAATTAATGTATTATTGTTCGATAACTTATTCTGCTATTCGGAGCGGAGAAGAATCCACCAAAAAAGAGATAACTAACATCGGTCCAGCCGATTTTGAGTTCTAAGTGGTGTAACTAATACGACTTTGTTTATATATTTAGATATGTATATTCCCCATTTTATAAAATATAGGTATATTTCATAGACATAATTTAATAGTTCAAAATTTCTGTATCTCCAGGGTGACAACCGTTCAGGCTACTTCCCAAAAGACTGCGTGCTAGAGGAGCCCGAGTGTATAGGCGCACTTGACTGATGCCACTTGTGCGTCGCAGCGCGACGACACACCCCTGACAATCTCATCGAGGACCTGGTCTGAGGTCTGTACAAGACATCTCACGTTCTCACTTGAGGTTTGCCGGGTGCTGAGGATAGTCTAGTCACGAGGGAATTGAGATCGCTTCATACAAAGGGATGCATGACACATCAAAATTATTAAAAAAAATTACCATATAGCAATTGAATAGGTAATTTTATATGTAACTAAAATTTTGTGAATCATTTGAAATTATTTCCAAATGATTTGTATAGACACATACAAATATATTTAAATGTTACAAATAAGTTAAAATGTAAAATCAAGGATTTTGTTTTTTTTTTTGGAAAACGGCTCTCTGTATAAATCTATGTGGTCCTAATTAGTTCGTGTAACATTACGGCTAAACCAGCCATAATGACGTTGAATTGACGATTTTATAGTTCACCAACAGTCATTTAAATATGAGTGTAACGTCACTGTATAGTATACAAATGACAATTTCAACGATATTTTTGTCGATTTGCTTTGTTTTAATGAAACAACAACGACCGGCTATTTAGAGCGCGGCCACACGATGCGGTAACGGTGCGATGCGGCGCCGAAGCGGTGTCGCAACGTCATCCTGCATACAAATTACTATACCATGTCGCACGACGCATTGTGCCGCCGCGCGGCGTCGCACCGCAAGCGCGCCAGAGTTGTGACCTGCGAGACGAAGCGGGGAAAAGTAAAATATATTGCCACACCGCAACGCCCGTATGGCACCCTATAGCTGGAAGTAATTGCGGTACGGCGCTGCACCGCACCGTTACCGCATTGTGTGGCCGCGCTCTTATTATTGACACTGATCTCCGCTATTTTAGATACGTTTCTATACTAAGTACCAACTAGCGAAGCAAAAAAAACAGAAATGTGACAAATACATATAAATTTTCATATAGTTCACAAGATCTTAGTATACATATTGGGAAATATTTTTTAAGATATATAGATTCTTAGTTTGGCAAATATTTGGGCTATTCGATAACCACAAAGTTATATCGTTTTGGTATTTTACTAGGTTTAATTTGAATTGACATTTAAAGTAAACCCCTTGGATGGTCCAGTGGATAGGAGAAAATATTATTTACTTAAAATAACCATTTCCAGTTAATAACTATTTAAAATGTTACTAACTCCTTGTTAATAATTAATCAGTGAAACAATACTCGTAAATTTGTTTAAAATTTCAATGCATAAGTGATGTTATGTGTCTTATATGTGAAGTTGTGAATAGCGGGTGAAATGCTTTAAGTGTAAATATAAAGTAAGTAGTTATAAGACGACATACAGCTATCTCTCTCATTCGTTTGACAGTTTTTAAGGTAGAAAGGGGTATACGTATTTTTTGGATTATAAATGAAAAAATGTAGGCCGTAACTATAGCCTACTACAAATTTTAAGATATGTCAATATAAGAGATCAATAATCCATACTAATTTTTGAATTAGGGAGAATTTATGAAATTATCAAAGTAATTGTAATAAATAAATTATTGATATATGGCGACTAATATAAAAGAACCATTCGCCTGAACTCATTATAATATATACTAAAGATTCTTGAATTGTCTTGCTTAATAGTTTTCATAAGAGAAGAAATAATTTTCTCATAGTAGAAGTATTTTCTATTCATATTATCAGAGTTTACAATTTGTATGTTAGAATCAAATATCACTGTTATTGCGTGATGAAATAGTTTTTAATACAAATATTTATGGTAGATGACATATCGGCATTGAACCAATTAAAATCAATATTCGTATTCAACTAATGAATATTCGTAAGCCCTCAGACAACCAATTCAAAGTTTTCGCTTTGAGGCTCAATTTATCATTTAAAATAATACCTTCATGGTATTTTTAGTCTATGGACGTTAGTTGGATATGAAAATCTTCACTATTGCTATACCATTAAGCTAGCAGTAGATAGTAGAGGCATTCGTCCAACAATAAATGTAGCTGTTTAATAAATGTTTCACGTACCAGTTGTTAGAGTATTTTTATGAAATCGTTGATCATGATAATTGTAAAACATATAAAATGTTGTTGTCTTGAAATTCTACTTCAAAATGAGTGTTAAATGGTTTAAGGTCTCAATTGTTGTCTTTGGTGCACTTCTCTTGGTGCAAAATATAGAGTTTGTCTATTGTATAGAATCATTCTTAAAATTATGTCACCTTGCTCCATCATACAAACAAATTGGTTTTATTTGAAGGCGTTGGGTAGTGTACGTATGTGTGCGCATGCAACGCACCCTCAGCCAATGGGTGTCCATAGGCTGCGGTGACAATGGCTGTTACAGACTGAGCCAGACGCGTTTGCCCCCTATTAAATAAAAAAGAATTCGCGTATATGTTACGTTAATAATGGTACAGCTTATAAATGTCTTTTAAGAACTTAATTTGGCTGTATTAGTTTAAAATAAAGTAGCTATGAGGTAGCGCAAAACACTTGTTGAAAGCAAACTATAAATTGCTTGCACAATTTGAATCCTGAAAAATAATAAATGTGCTCAATTTTTTGCTTTTATTAATTATTTTGTTTACGCAACATTTTACAAATGTTTCATATTAATGTGGGAATATAGTGAGATGGAAGTGCCAAAGTGTTAATTGTCAACTGGCAATACAGGAGTTTACTCATGTCAGTCACATTTTTTAAATCTAGGTTGTGACACGCGTATGCAAACAATGCAATTTAACAGTTTTTAAATATGTTATAATTATATTAAATGTCTATAAACTCTAGCATTTTTAACACGATTTAATAGCGGCGAGTTATTTGACAAAGGTGTAATCTAATTGTTTAAAGAACTATTTACACTTTTTTCTTTAATATATTGTGCAGTAATTTTATGTAGTCATTGGACTCGGGCTGCCCTCGTCTGGTGAAAACTTACTTTTTAGTTATCTGAGCTCATATTACAAATAAAATCCCACCAATATTAATGTGTGTTCACATTCCAATTATTATTAACAGATAGACACATTTATTTATCACTTTTTGTAAATAGCAATTTTAGTACAAATTGTAATTTTTTATCTTTGTGCAATTTTTTCTCGAATAAACTTATGGGCGTTTCTAATGAAATTTCCATTTCGTAGTATTTATTTGTGCGTGTTATTTTTTATTAATGTAATACTGTGTGCTAGTTGAATCAAAATATATTTTTCATTAAAATATTCAAATTACATTAAGTAAAGTAGAAATATATTTTTGCAATAACGTAAAATGCAGCTTATGTTAATAAATATTTTAAACAGAGTATATCAAACCCCATACATTGTAATTTTGACAATAGCAAGTGGTAATGAGAATATTCTGTATAAGAAATATTTTTGTAATGTTTCTTTGTACATAACATCAAAGTATATCATACTTAAAATTAACGATTGTATTTCTATTATTGCTTTTATACTTATTTTGACAATTTTTGTTTGATTATGAAAATAGTCTATGGCAAATAAGTTGCCATACTAATTATGATTAGAAAATTTTAACAGATGAATTTGTCAAACTTATGAAATGTTATATTATAGGTCTATTGTCAAGTGAGCTTGCTTCTTTTTTGTATGAAATATATGTTTTTGTCTTTTATTTAAATCTACAAAATAATTTTCTAATTAATATGACATCTCATGTACACATGAAAATATATATCGGATTAGCTATATACGAATTTATGTAGTGTTGTGGATTAAATGGCTTTTAAATGTTCAAATTACATTAGTTTGCGAATGTTGGTGCTATTTAATTTTGTGTTCAAGGCTTTTTATGTGAACGTCGTGCTGCCATAACGCCTCAAAACAATATCGGGAAAAAGAAAATTTTTATTAATATAATGTTTTTTATTTTATAATATAGCAATTACACAAATTAGTGTAACACAATTAAAAGGAATACAAATATCTTACACGTATGTGGCTGTTTTGTGAATTCTCAGTTTTTCTGACAAAATATTCTTCTGAGGTTTATGGCAACCCAAACGCGCTGGTACAGACGTAGTGTTAAAATATTTTGATATTATTTATGTCTGTAAATATATTGTAAATGCATATCTCATTATGTAGTTAGGAGATATAAATAAATGGTTGGAAATTGATTTTTTTTTTATTCTCATACTTTAAAACACATTACAAGAGTTCATGTTTAACACATACAAGAGTTTTATGTTTACAAGAGTTACCTGTTTAACACAGGTGAGAGTGTTCATCTATTCTAACAGGTTTTAGTTTAAAGTTTAAACCAAAAACAATAAAGAAATATAATCTGTTAAAATAATGCAGATAAAAACACAGCAGAAGTAAATTACTATTACATATTTAGCATTAAAAATCCTAATTTAAAATTATTTAAGATCCGGCGTACTGCTCCCCAAATACGTGCGTAGATCATTCATTGTGGATCTTATTAACTTAGCTGGTATCGTTGGACGGCTAAGTCGTTTATAGGCAGCGAATCTGTGACAACCGCCGAAACTATAATAATAATTCCCGCCTTCACTTCCCTCGATCCATAACACATCTATTGGTGGAACTAAACCCTGGGCCTCTTCTTTCTGTGGATGAAATATTTCGTTTAAAAATTCGGACCCGATCTAAAGTTTTTTACTATGCTACACTACCAGTCTGGAAATAAAGTTTTGCAATCCCTTAGTCCAGAAGAATCTTTGATTTATTTTACGATATAAGTTGCCATTAGGGGTCACAATGCGGCAAGTATTTACACTTATATTACATACAAAACTATACACGCATACATATAGAAAAAAAACAAATATTATGATATTTAATAGTAAAAGATTGAAATATTTGCAAAATTCCTACAATTAACTATTTCTACCATTATACTGACAGGCATTTCAATGGATTGTGCCCTTTTCAAAAAGATTAGTTTTAGCTGAGGACACGAATAGTGATGGCGGTCATGTCGCCTCCTTATGTATTATGTAACCATCAAGCACCCTAAGGCTTAGGCACTGGAGCACTGCGGAATTGCTTGCCTGCCCGCGTAGGTATTAACTTTATAAGTTACATCGCAAGCGCTAATTCTTGGCGTAGTCTGAGATCGTAGCATCAACATTATTATTAGCCTATTTATTATTGTGTTTGCCCGATTTCAACACACAGATATATTCGTTAAGCAATAATAAATTCAACAACAGTAAACATCGTACAAACCCATTAAATATTTAAATCACCGGGAAACTCAAATAGTACCGTACCGATTACCATGCCTAGTTCGTGTCGAACTTCGAAGCGATTAATAATGTACCAATTTAAAAGTTCAACAATAATAATTTTAGTAGGCGTGTCATATTAATTTACATCATATATATTATTCAATCGTTGAACTGTTGTATTAACCTCTGGAGGTGAAATAGACTTGCAAATAAAACCTATTGTTTATTTTGCAAAATGCAACGTAATGAATAAAGTACATAATTTCTATAACAACAACGCTGTCATGATATTCGTAAATACAAATAAAAATCAGAAATATTTACAAAATACGAAGTGACCACATTCGAGCAAGAACTAAAATCACCCACGCGCTAACCCATCACTTACAGCTGCCTTGCGATTCTGTAACTCACTTTTCGAACTCACACAGCGGTTTTCGCAGCGGCGGTCGCGCTCTAATCAGTCGTGAAGCAGTCATTTTACGATTTGGCATTCTGATAAGCTTTTAGTTTATTGTTTTCTAAAAACAATTAACTACACTCGCTGTGAGAGTTCGAAAAGTGAGTTACAGAATCGCAAGGCTGAAATAGAAATGGGCAGGCCACATTGCAAGGTGTACAGATAAAAGATGGAACGCCGAGGCTATCCCGCTGGAAATAACAACCGCATATAACAAATGGAACCGCTGGGGATCTCCAGGAAAAAGAAACGTGAAAAATGGATTATGGGATTATGATTTCTGGGGAAAAATTAATGGAGCAAGCAAAGAACATATCCAACTGAAGAGGTTCAGGAGCCTCCTCCTTTACCCAAAAGGGGTCCATACAAAAGTAATGGAAACACGAAGTAATGAAAATAACAATAACTAACGTAGACTTTGTGTATAATAACAAAACTAACACCCGTTTTGTTTGTATTTTTAATAGTATGGAATAAAAGTGGCTTTATTAAAATGCTTTTATATAAACATAGGTATAATAACAGGTTTGCATCAGTCGCGTTAAAATTAAGCAATAATTTTACCTGAATAGTTTCCATAAGTGACTCAACTTTCTTCTCATCTAGTTCCGGTATAAATGGTCGTATTATGACTGACATCGGTACATCATGTATTTCCTCAACATACGCACTGTGTATACTCGTCATTCTTACGGGTACTAAATACAAAAATAAAATTAAGGAAAGCACATCTTGTAGTGACGACATCTTCCATTTACGGTTGCTATTATATTACTGACTCATATAGTATAAACATTGTGTAAAATACTGATAATATAATGAGTTTTCCGTGTCTATTAAAGGTTAACATTAATATTTGAAAACGAATACTTATTGAAACCACTTCAAAATTACATTAATAGTGCAAACACAATGTACATGAATAGTGCTATGCGTATGCTACAAATATTGTATGCAACTGCAAAAGATTTAAATTTCGCGCCATTTCTTTGGTTAAATTAACATTTTTTTATTAAACTGACTTAATAAATTTATAACACGGTTAATATCAGTTTATTTACGGTCAAGTTATTCTACAAAAAACATGGAAGAAAATCATAATTTGAATGTATTACTTACTACGAATAATTTTCACTATCACAGATTTTGTCAATAGTATAATCGATTTTATCATAACAATTTTATATTTTCAGGGCCACATTGATATCACTCGACTGGCGAGTAGCGTATTTACTTGTTGACTGAGTTATGACTAATTTACGAGACTGTAGTGTCGGGGTTTGAAGGTTAACTAATTCATTCCTTGAATTACGTCATCAAACGTCAAACTATACGGTCTAGTGGTTAATGCAACTCTCAACACTGGGGTTGTGCGTTTTAGCCCTGGCTGAGTGATAAATTGAATTTTCCTCGTGTGCTCAACTTTTGCTCGTACTGTGAAAGTAAACTTCTTGTTCTTTACCCTCTGTAGTCTTTTTTTATTGTTCCGTATTAGGGTCGCCTGGAAGAAATCGCTTGATAGCGATAAGGCCGCCCGTTGCCTAATCACTTATGTAACCTGCTTTTTTTGAAGTTATACTTCTTTAGGCGCGTTATGAAAAATGTATGAGACTGAAATTTTACGATGCGCCCGCACCGTGACACAAAATTATCAGTATGGGCGCCGAGCGTGCGCGAGCGAGATGGGAATAAGACAAGTAAAATGAAATAGAATATGCGTGACGTTAGCAGCTATGCCAAGAATTTTGAATGACCATAATGACATTTGTAGTACCTTTTAGACAAAATATAAAGGAGTTTTAATTATTTTTTCAAAGAAATTTAGCAATGCTTTTTCACAAAGACCTATTGTTACTTAGTTAAAAGGTTATGAAACATACCTAGTTATTAAATTGAATTAATAATATAATAAAATAATAATTAATAATTGTTGTTATACTAAATATTAAATTTTGTTAAATTATTAACGCTAAATATTTATTATTAATTATTTTAAAAAAATAAAGAAAGCCAAAGAAGTATAACTACTTACGCGCGTACTTAAGTAGACGCACCATTTTTAATATGTATGTTTTTGTATAACGTAACGAAGTGTAAATAAATAAATAAACATTTCAAGGAAACGAAAAATCAAATACATTTCTGGATCTAACAAAATAATGATCACTTAATGCAAACAGAAACGATCAACGATGCAATTTGCAGCGCGGGCCTCAAGGCGCCACAGAATTAAATTTTATTTGTTGTAATAATGACGGCTGTTATTTAATATAATATATGATATCAATATGTGGCCAAGGCAAAAAACTAATTCGACGTTTATTGATCTAAAAATCTATTGATGTTTGAATAAAGGTGTAAATAAAACTCCCAATAACTACACAAAAAATGTATTTCATCAATCTGATGGTCAATAACATTGAACTCGTATACATGGTGTTCCCGCGCCGCTGCGCTCGTAATACATTGTAATATAATTAGATATAATATTTAAATAAATAACTCACAAAGGGACGTAACAGCGACGCGATTCTAATGCGAAGTAAAACATGATCAAATAATCTTTTTCTCGTATACTGTTTCAGATATATTGATTTAGAACATTACTTACATCTATTTATGCCGTTTCCATAAATTACTAATCGTATATTCGTTAGGTCTGCGTTCTCAAGAAACTTATCTATAAAAAAAATATTTTGTGCTAGTAACATTATAGCACCACACAATAGCTGATGTTCACTCTCAACCATAGGGCCGATTTACATTATCTTAGTATTTAGGAGAGTATTTTAGTACAACTTGAAAGGCAAGTTCATTAGTGCTTTAGTGCGTTGCGAGTGAACGTTTACATTTCTTCCAGTAGAGTGTCATTACAGCGGCACAATGAACACGCAACGACGTCGGCAAATACGCTCTATTCTACGCAAAATACTAACTGTAGTTATGGAACAAATAGAAGACGAGATTTTATTCGAAATAAATAAACTAAATACAAATAATAAGTAAAATAGCTTCTTTTAAGGCAGTGTATGCCGAATGCCTAGCCTGTTTGTTCTTGTATAAATTGTTTTTAACGTTCCACAAACATTCGTGAACAACATATTCAGAAACAAATTTGATAGTTGTATCTTCCGACCGTTTAGCCATCTTTAAAAATCAAAAAACACGCACGCGTTTCACACTTGAAACAAAAATAAAAAGCGATTCTATTTTGATTCAACTTGAAAGTGAAGTAGAACCGTACTAAAGCAAGTAGCGTTTACATGTTTCAACTAAAGTACTATCCTAAAGCACTCTGCTAAACACTAAGATAATGTAAATCGGCCCATAGACATTGTGAATGGACTGTACACTTGACACTTGACATCACTGTCAAGAATCGTAGTTTAAATATCGAACTACATATATAGCTAGAAAAAAGTTAACAGTCCATTCACAACGCCCTTTCTTACCACTTTAGTGCACACAAATGTAAATTAAAAACGAAGTAATTAGCCCGCGTGACAAGAGTACAGTGTGCGCCTAACACAACCATCGCTACATATTAAATTGCACTCTCCTCCCTTGGTGGCTGACACTGGCAAGAATATAATTTTAAAATTCATTATTTACTTGAGAAATCCAATTCATTATTAATAATCAGTTCCTTTATATTGGAAGCTAAAGTTTTGCCTTAACTTAAACATAATAATCAAATATAATTTGTGTGGGCGTTAAGTCTCTAACTCACATCTTCGATAAAATCTGACAGCCATACAAGGGATACTATTCAGCACAAAATATCTGAACTTATACTACCTTAGATTAACTTAAAACTATCGTATATTTATATTCCACCGTAAACGCGGTGAATATCGAGATCCCGCCACAATTAACACTAATACTGCCGAAAGAATGCCAAATAATACTTGCTGCCATTACACGAATCGAATTTGCTGTAAAAACTACATTACTTCACTAAATAAACGGGGCTACAAATAATTCCTATTACAAAGGATACATTCTCGTTGCTGCGTAGGCCTTCGAGGTGATCGTTCCCCATATTAAAGACATTCAGTTACACATTTAATAATAAATTATACTTTAATTTAGAGAAGCAATAATAACTGGTGTATAAAAATCCTTAAAGAGTTCGTGTAAATAATTTAAAAGAAATACTGGGTCACAGTGAATGCTACAATGTCGGGACGTGGTATACGTATGTTGTTACTCGCCGTCTGCGCCGCCACGCCCAGCGCCTGCCGCGGCGAGGTAACGCCACACCTTAACAAGATATTTACATTTAGTAATTGAAAGGACCTTCCGAACATCAAAATGTTCGGAACTTTGGTAATAGATCAAAACCTATTACCAAAGCACACAATCTAACTTAATAAGTCACTTAGGGAGCGATCAAGTATTACGTAACGAATTTGGGGGGGGGTCCTCTTGTAAAACGTTACGATGCAGGGCGGAGATTGAATTAAGCGTTGTTAATATTATTTTTGACTTTCCAGTGCTTTACACCACATAAGGGTAACTTTTAGGTATAAAGAGTCACTAGGTGGTCACGAAACGTATTACTATACTTGGGTACGTTACGGCGCGTTACATGGGGGGGGTCAATAATGTCCAAAAATTGCGTGACGTAATACTTGAACGCTCCCTTATTTACATAATAAATTATGCTGTAAATGGAGGAGTATCTGCTGCAGATGGATGCTAACAATTGGCGGGAGAAGGCCCAAGATTATCTGCTGAAAGTTTTTCGTTTCGGAGGCTAAGACACTTTTTAGGTGGCTGAGCCAATGGAGTACCTCCGTTTCTCTTCCATAATATAATCATTATTATAAGTATTTTAATAATACATAATTTACTCATGATTTCTCTAGTAACAGCTATTTACTATTCTCTAAGTCCCCTTGTATTTTGTTATATTGAATTGAAATTTATTCACTTAAAAATAAAATCAACTTATAATCATTTAAAATATCTAAAACAAGCACAGCAAAGTCTTTTGATATTTGAAATCATTATTTTACAGTTAATGGTTAAAAATTATGAGTCTACTTGGTAAAAACAGAATCAATATATGTTTTCCAAATTGTTTCTATTAAGAAAAAAACAATTACATATAATAAAAAGGTATGTATAGTTGAAAGAGAAATCCCCAAACTAGGATTCCTTGTGGGCAGCTAACCTCTTCCATTTGTCAAATTGTACTTTACTTAATATATTATAATATAATCGTAATAAAAGTATTCACCTATGGCGAAAGATCCTGGTGCATAGGATCATATCCCATGGAGCCGTCGTAGGGCGGCTGCGGCTGGTCGTAGGGCGGGGCCGGCAGAGAGTAGCCCATGGAGTCCTGCGTGGGCGCCGGAGACATCATGGGCGTGGCCGTGCCAGACGCCGCCCCCATCGAGTACGGTGATGCGCCTGCTGCAGGTCGCCCCCACATTATAATACCTCATTATGAACACATGCATCTATCTATAGAACTCGATTTTATCACCTCACTTGGCAAACGAATTAATAAGAATCGAAAAATCTTCCATGGTTAATGCATAAATATACAATTGTTAATCTGTACGAGCCAAGGCTGTACATTTTGCTCACTCAGGTTTTCTTAGTTAGTAGATTCCCTATGTACGTGCCATGGCTGTACACATTTTGATCACTTATAAGCGTGACGATTTCCTAAATCGTCGGAGTCACGCCCTGAAAGCATTGCCAGACGTAGGCACTCTCTTTGACTGTTAAATTGCATTCATTTGTTACATAGCAATTAACATTTCATTATTTCGCTCATATTCTATTGTTATACACGAGTGGCTAATATAGAAAAAATAATTAGAAAGTAAATTAATTAGTAATTAGAAAAAAAATCGGAATTGAAGCAATAATTACCAGCGGCCTTCTTAGCGGCGTAGAGATTGGCTTCCTCCTGTGCCTTGCCAATGTTCTTCTTGTAACGGATACGTTTGTTGCCGAACCAGTTGGAGACCTGTACATTTATTTTATAAAATAGGAGAGCAACGTCTACGGGACTGCCGTGTTAGTTGCCGACCTTTCAGGGAATAGTGCGTTCTTTTATTAGTTCAGTCTCCTATGGTGAATATCGAAAACATTCTAAAGGTCGCTAGTTCACATGCCTAGAGACGCGGATTCTGGCACATTTTCAGCCATGGACATGATCACAATGAAATTACATAAATGTTATTTTGTTGTTTGAATCTCGCAAAGGGGCAGTGAAACAAATTTCCACGTCTGTTTTAATGTTTTCACAACAAACAATTGTTTTGCCGCGTGCCTACGGCTTATACGTTAGCAATTAAACGGAGACGGTCACGATAAAGCGAATGTATAAAATTTAAAAAAAAAATCTAAGTAATCTATTCAGTATAAAAACTAATTATAATTCAATTACAATAAACGCTAGGAGCTTCGCAAACTGTCGTTTGATTTACAATTAAACATAATAATACAATTTTAAAACACAGCCAAAACATACTCTAAAAATCGCGTCGTATAAACAAAACATTACCATATAACCTACCAGTCGCATATCCATGATACCTAAGTACTTTTAGAGTACCTGTGACACCCTAATGCCGCACTGCCTGGCCAACTCTGCCTTGACCTCCTCGTTAGGATAAGGGTTAGCGAGGTGCGAGTAAAAGTAATCGTTGAGGAGGTCCAGCGCTCGCTTGCTGAAGTTCCTCCTCTTCCTCCTGGCGTCGACAAAGCTGAAAGGCAGGCAATATGCAGACGTTACCTGCGAGACCGTGATGCCGCACTTGCGAGCCAGCTCCTCCTTAGCCTCCTCACTGGGGTAGGGGTTGGAGAGGTGCGAGTAGAAGTACTCGTTGAGAATCTCCGATGCTTGTTTGCTGAAGTTGCGGCGCTTTCGGCGCGCATCCAGGAAACTGCAAGCGGTAATCGAGGCAGAGGTTGAGCTGGGACCAAGTTGCTGTTTTGCGGCTAATTATCATTCACTTTTCGGATAAATAGTACTAATTAAAATAGACTTTCATCGGAATTCGAAAAACATTGCAAAAAACCTAAATAAAAAATAATATTACGTTAATATTAAGTTATTACCGTGAACGAAGTATCATGACAGCCTCACAAGTCGATTGTTTCAGCTGCATTTGTATGGAACTGAACTTCTTGTGAATAATCTGCACCATACGCTCAATCTCCTACAATGTATAGAATTGTATAAGTTAATTTTAATAGTAAGTTATGCCTCCAAACAGGCTTAACTGCCAGGCTCTATACTCTATTCTAACTGCCTATAACATATAGATCTCTGTATAGTCTGTGATCTTTTCTCTCTATATAGTCAAACCACCAAAACTTAATATGAGAGTTGTAACTCAGTCCACTGAGTAACTAAATACTGCATTATTTAATTAGATAAACAGGCAGGGATAACTAACCTTTGGAGTAATGGGCCGAGTACGGCTCTGCTCTCTTAAGAGATTCATGACGTGAGTTGTGAACTCATTGCAGGCATTTTCATACTTGTCAAGCTCCTGATGATAAATCTGACGGATCTGCGCCAACTTCGCACGGTAGTCCGAGTGCTCGATCGCGTTATCTGCTTGGGCCACAGTGCCTTAAGTTGCAGCGGACAAAAAACATCTCATGCAACTCCGTACCATGTATTAGTATATATTTACATTTATAACCTTTACTCCCTTTTAATATATAAAATATAATACAGAGTATAAAAGCGTGATAACTGCAACATATGATTTATTTGAATAATGAAATAGTTTGTGTAATAAAATAAATTAAATACCATCTCTGTACGTGATTATTTATAATATGCTGATCCATGCATTATTTATTCTATACTCTGAAATAGGATCAAGTACCCTAATCCTATTTCAGATCAACTTGTAAAGAAATTATGTGTAAAAAATACATAGTACTTTAAATAAATAAAAAATATTTTATATTTAACGTAAACTTTTTATGAAACGTTTTTAATAGTAAATTCAGACAAGTAAACATGAACAAAACACCGGACAAATAAACAATGTAATCAAAATACATTACTTATATGGGTGATTCTATGACTATTATTTAATTTAGAACGTTTTATATATTTAAATAATGATTCAAACATATTTTGTAGTTCACTTAAAATGAATGTTGAAAATTATCCAGATAACTACTTAAAGATGCCAGTCTACAATGTCTGTATTTATAAAAGTGTTTAATTTAATTAAGGTATCTTCACAGGCTAATAATATTTATTGTAAAGTCAAAACAAAAAGACAACCTCTGCTTTAATAAATATGGAAAAATAAGTGATAGTACAATAAAAATGAGGAATACTCAGTAAATTTTTTATAGAAATTAGAATGATGAATAACCCATATAACTGAACTCATTAAATCATGCATGTATTACATAAAATCTGTTTGTGCTTAGCTTTTATAAACCCCCGCCCAAAAGCAATTCAACAAATCCCACTATACAATCAGAAGTTTGTGAAAAATCTTACAATATATGGGGTCCACTATTATAATAGACTAGAACATCTAAATAAATTGATTTTATCTATAATTGAGCCTAATGTTTTATTGCCTTATGACTGACATTCATTACGTATTTGCTTCTAAGGTTTAAGATCAATAAACTACTATGTTTGGTACACACCCCATTCTCCAGCAGCAGCCGAAGCCGAGGCTGCAGCACCTGCTCCTCCACCCTTTTCAGGACCTGCTACACCCTCTGCTATCAACATGTTGTCTAATCTCATCAGCTGAGGGTCTGGTGGCTCCTCTTCTTGCGTATTGCGAAGCGACAAAACTATACAAAGTAAATTATAAAGATTATTTATAATTTGAGGCCTAATCATCAAAAAATTCGAAAATGGATCATATATATAATAATTCGTTACCAGTTTTTTCCTTAATTTCACACAGCACTGAAAACAAGGCAGGTTTCATTCTATGACAGTTTAAAGTGTGCTTTCTGGCCTGAGCTTCATCTAGACTCTGGTCTGTTATATTCATTATTTGCTGTAATATCTCGCCAATATCCTGCTTCCTTGCCTCATTGTCGCCTGTAGTAGGAGTGCCTTCGCTACCAGGCAATCCATAGCCCTGCGGTCCCATGAGGCCACCGCTATGCGCCATCATTCTATTAGGATCATCCATTTTAACTTAACACATTAATTTTACTTTAGTTAAAGCAGTATACACGATTGGATATAAATTATTTAATTTCACTAACAACTGTAAAAAACAGAAATCTGTAAAAATCTAGAGCTTCTCCCTCTGTAATAAAAGTAAGATGGCCGCCTCCTTTGTGCTGTCAATATGTAATATTGAAAAAGAAAACAAATAATTAAAACTCGTCTTATCTCTCTAGTAGTATATGTAACAGAAAGAGAAACAACATCATATTACTTCCGTTGACAGATAATACAGGGTAGACCGGTTCTAGTTTTAACGATTAGGTTTTTTTTTCATATAAAGTTCTCAGTAATAATACTATGAACTATCTCACTATCTGGTATGTTAGAGAGGGCTTGACTTTATTTGTGAAAATGTTTAATAAGTATTAAGTACCAAAAATACAGTTTCAATAATTTCGTTAAAATATCGTTACATTATTATAGTTACTCGATTTCAATTTGATAGCGTTATTTGTTGATATTTTGTAGCAGTATTTTTTATATTTCGCTTATTAATAAGATGTATGTTTAAACTTTAATATAATATGTAAATACTTTGTATAATTTGCTTTTTGAGTCTTTATTTTGTCATTTGGTAACACTAATGTGACGGGCAGTGTGACCAGATTTCATTTGACGAATCTACTGCTCGTGGAGGTTAAAAACTACTGAATTCTACCGAAAGGAACGAGAAAATACAAAAAAATCTATTATATTTTTTTGCTGTTGGTTTACAACGTAAAACATGAATTTTCTTGATTAAACGATAAAATAATAAAAGTAGTAAAGATTAATTAAAGAAGCGAAGTTTTTTTTAATTTAATTCTTACTACAATTTTTTTTTTAAATTAATAATAATAAAATGAAACTTAAAGCTAAGATTTTTCGTCGTTATGTTGGATATTGTCATAAAGCTGTTTTGAGTCCATTAGCTTGATCATACTTTTGTCAGGATCAAATCTGCTACATCCTCCTTCCAACTGTCGTAGCCCCTCTTTTCCATGCATAATTGCAGCAACATTCTTGTTATTAAAACGATTTCTATCTTGACTTTTAATTCTATTAATATCGGAAAATATTCTTTCAACTTTGGCGTTAGACAGAGGTAGTATTGTCATTTGCTTCACAAACCGGGCCAAATTGCCATATTTTGGTTTGCTATTCGCATCGCAAATTTGGCTGACCTCACTCCAAAATTTATCCACCATAAAATTTTCAGAAGTTGAACTCGAAGTTGACAATAAATTAGACACGGAAACATCTAATTTTAATTCCCTATATTCGTTGTCAACAATTTGCATATTTTCTGTTGTAACTAAGTTAGGAAACCTTTGTAGTATTTTTATTAGAGTTCGAAATTCACCATACACTGCCTTTTGGGGATCGATAAACGACAAATCCTGCAAGAAATTATCTTGTACAGGCAGTCTTTGGAGAAATTGTTTACTTAGCTCGATCAAAAATGCTTGACATCTGTTAAGAAACTCTTCAATTTTAGATTTCATTCGAACATCATCTTTTAATAATTCCAATGTTATGGCTACGTTTGTGCCCAGGTACATGTTTTGTATAGGAAGGAAATGCATACTTGAACTGGGATCTATTGACTGAAGCGAAGTAGTTTTAATATAATTTATCTTCATAAAACAACTCAAAATGGAACTCATCATGTTTTGTATATCTGTGTCAATTTTATGAATGAGCGTCTGATCACTTTGAAAAATAACGTTAAATTTTGTAGTTATGGGTAATATAAAATCTAAAAGGAAAGATAAAGTTTTGTTTCATCGCTGTTAAGGTGATCAAATATAAATTGACAAGTAGCATTTGCATTCTTATTTCCTAAAAACTCATTTTGAAAAAAAAGTTTTAATGCTGACCACTGCTCTATAATTCGGTGAATGCATTGATGTAGAGAAAGCCACCTGATATCATAGTGACGAAGCATATGGTGAGTTGGAGTGTCAGTAAAATTTTGAAATTCGACAAACTCTCTTTGACGTTGGCTACTGTGAGAGAAGTATGAATAAACATCTTTGACAAACAACTCTATAGAACGAGGTAATTTTTTGCATGCATAACTTACTGAAAGATTTGTTGAGTGGCAAATACATTTAAAAAAATACAGTTTGGGTTGACTTCCCTAATTTTAGATACCACGCTATTCCTTTCGCCAAACATAACATTCGTTGTATCAGCAGCGAACCCTATTAAATTTTCTATGTTAAGGTTTCTTTCAGATAAGGCACATGTTAAACTATCAAACAAATACTGCGCAGTTTCACCTTTTAAGTCCACCATACACAAAAATTTTGTTTGTGGAGATTGCAATTTTTCTGAGTAGTACTTTATTGCTGCTGCAAGTACCTTGGTAGTACTGACATCTGTGCTTTCGTCGATAATGAGCGAAAATACTGGGCTTCTCTCAGTTTCATTTTCCAGCCTTGGACGTAATTCTGCAAGCATTTTTTCTTCGAAGTTATTGCCTAAGACGTTGTAAGCAATTGCGGCAGATTTAGTTCTTCTACAGGAAAAACGTTTTGCGATTTCAGAGTCGTGAAATGCCCTTGAAATAACTTCGCTTACGTGATCCATTACGCGAAAAGGAATATTATGTTCCACTAATGCAGCTACAATGCTGATTTCTGCTTTTTTTACTTCTTCCGAAATAGTTGATGTTTTAAAAATCGTATCAATCTGTAAACAAAAAAGTTAAAAATAAGTATGCAGGACAAAAAAAAAAGTCAAAAACTAAGCAATCTTAATATATATAAATCTCGTATCACAATGTTTGTCCTCAATGGACTCCTAAACTACCGAACCGATATCAATCAAATTTGCACACCGTGTGTAGTTTGATCCAAATTAAAAGGTAGTTTAAATCTCAAATTATAGTCGCAATATTATTTTATTGCAAAATATTTGTTTATTATTTGATACAATTCTAACAGATGGCGCTGTGTTATAAGTATCAACGTTTCACATAAGCTTTCATCTACCTTTAAGATAAGTTCTCCTACCCCTAACAGATGGCGCTGTGTTAAAAGTATCAACGTTTCACATAAGCTACCTTTCACATACGTTCTCCTACCGTTTCCCTTGAATAGTTTACTACTATGTAATATAACAAAAACCTTAGCCACAGCAACGCTTGGCCGAGTCTGCTAGTTTTAATATATCATTTAAATAAATAAACATGCATAAACACACATAGTTGTATAATAATAATTGTTATGTAAATGTGTAGATAATAAACATACTTAAAACAGCGAAAGTTTGTTTTTGAATGGAAATCATAAGGTTTAGAACATAATACGGGTTCACGATGAAAGTATTAAATTTTTTTTAACAAAAATAATTAACTAAGACTTACATTCCACATATCAATGTAAGTACCTTACGTACCTTAGAAATGCCGGAATATCCTTTCATGTTTTTTATATGCTTTGATGTAGCCATATGTTCCTTTAAAGATGCCACTCTACTTAGTACTTCACAGTTGCATGCTTTACAATGAGCACTCGTAGTGTTTACTCTAGATTTAGACAACCAACTTTTAAATGAGGGATCTTGCTCCCATTCATCGCGATATATTTGTGTATATTTACGTTTCATTATATACTCGATTATATAAATTCTCAGTAAAGGTATTCCCACTAATCACAATATGCTCACGAGTCACGGAACGAATGGTTTATAGTAACGAAAATAACGAAAATTCAATAGAACTTACCACCCAATCGATGAAAGGGGAATACCCCGCATTTATTCGATGTGCCAAAAAAGTACCTACTAGAATAACTGATAAACGTGAATTCTACTAAAATATACCAAATAATTTTTACATACTAAATTCTGTTGCCAGTACCTCAAAATCTACCAAAAAAGTAGAAATCTACTAAATTTGGTAACACTGATGTGACGGGCATCATCAGACGTCATGTTATGTTGGCAACCAGATAACCGGATTAGCAAATTGTCAATACTAAAAAATAAAAATTGTGACGTTGAAGTTAACTAATCATTACTTCAGAGTTCAGATTTCGGAATGAGATATTTCGTGATTCGTCAGCGAATTTGACTGAAGAGACACGAAAACGTAAATTGGTAACACGTCAAATTCCTTCACTCCCGAGTCCCGGGCGGCGTACCATATGTGAACCTCAAAAGGAATTTATATATCTTTATTAAATGAGACATATATTAAGCTCAGTATTCAATTGTAGTGTATCAATTAGCAAATCGTTTAAAAGAACTGCTATTCAAATCAGGTTTTCGCACAGTGTTCCAAAGTGGGGTAGCAATAAGCTTCACCGTAAAATTAAGATCCAGCATCCGTTTCGAGAAATAATTATGGCAGATCCTAAAATTGAGGAAATCCTTGCACCTTTGCGAGCCAATGTTAAAGAGCAGGGTGATTTCGTTCGGAAACTCAAAGAAGAAAAGGCTCCTGAATTAGACATAAAAAAGGCTGTCGCTGAACTGAAGGTACGAAAAAAGACATTAGAAGACAAAGAACTCAGCCTTGCACCTACAGAAGAGTGGTTTGATAGAGCCAAAATGGAAGATTTAATTAAGCGGCGGTTTTTCTATGATCAATCCTTTGCAATATATGGGGGTATTACAGGTCAGTTTGACTTTGGCCCAATGGGGTGTGCGCTGAAAAGTAACATGATACAATTGTGGAGAAAGTATTTTATTCTCCAGGAACAGATGCTTGAGGTTGATTGCTCTATCTTAACTCCTGAACCAGTGCTTAAAGCATCTGGGCATGTGGAAAGATTTGCTGATCTCATGACTAAGGATGTTAAGTCTGGAGAATGCTTTAGATTAGATCACTTGATAAAGGCTCATTTAGAGAAAATTAAAAGTGAAAAAAATACTAAGCCTGAACTTAAAGCTGAAATTGAAGACATCCTTGTTAAACTTGATGGAATGACTGCTGATGATATGTCCTCATTGATGAAAAGATTTAATATGAAATCTCCAGTTAGTGGTAATGATTTAAGTCCACCAATTGAATTCAACCTTATGTTTAATACTCAAATTGGGCCATCAGGATTAGTAAAAGGCTTCTTAAGACCAGAAACAGCACAAGGTATATTTGTAAACTTTAAGAGATTGTTGGAGTTTAATCAAGGAAGACTACCTTTTGCTGCAGCACAAATTGGTAATTCATTTAGAAATGAAATATCTCCTCGATCTGGACTTCTCAGAGTTCGAGAATTTACCATGTGTGAAATTGAGCACTTTTGTGACACAAAAGACCACCCTAAATTTGATTCTGTAAAAGATACTCAAATGCTCTTTTACTCTGCTGATAACCAAGAGCAAGGTAAAGCTGCTGAGATAATGACAATTGGTGAAGCAGTGTCCAAAGGAATAGTTAACAATGAAACTCTTGGATACTTCATGGCTAGAATTCACTTGTACATGCTAGCTGTTGGCATTGAACCAAAGAAACTTCGTTTCAGACAGCATATGAGCAATGAAATGGCACATTATGCATGTGATTGCTGGGATGCTGAGTGCCTTTCTAGTTATGGGTGGATAGAATGTGTTGGATGTGCAGACAGATCAGCATATGATTTAACACAACATACTAAAGCAACTGGCACTCGTCTAGCTGCTGAGAAGAAATTACCAGCTCCTAAACAGATAGATGTTGTGGAAGCTGTTACTAACAAAGCTGCAATTGGAAAGCAATTTAAAAAGGATGCTAAGGCAATCAATGATGCACTTTTAGCTTTAGGTTCTTCAGAATTGGAGCAACTTGAGAGCAAACTTGAAAGTTGTGGAGAATATACCCTGGTCACTGCAAATGGAGACTTTACACTCACTTCTGATTTGATCAGTGTAAAGAAGACGCAGAAAACAGTTCATGTTGAAGAAATTATCCCTAGTGTTATTGAGCCTTCCTTTGGTATTGGAAGAATCCTCTATTGCATTTTGGAGCATAACTTTAAATTGAGAGAAGGTGATGAGCAAAGAACTTATTTCTCACTGCCGCCAAGTGTTGCTCCAATGAAATGTGCTGTTTTACCTCTAAGTGGAAATGCAGAATTTCAACCTTTTGTAAGAGAATTGTCACAAGAACTAACAGCAGTGGATGTATCCCACAAAGTAGATGATTCTTCTGGGTCCATTGGAAGAAGATATGCCCGAACTGATGAACTTGGTGTTCCATATGCTGTAACTGTTGATTTTGATACAGTACCAGAGCCTCATACTGTAACCTTGAGAGAAAGAGATGGAATGGGACAAGTTCGGCTTCTTCTATCTGATGTGCCTCAAGTAGTAAGAGACTTGTCTAATAGTAAAATTTCATGGTCAAATGTAGAAGAAAAATATCCAAAATTTGAACAGCAAGAAACCGTGAAAGGTGTTGCTGCATAGTTCATAAATATTGTTTGAACAGATGCTTTTATTCAAACAATTTGCTTATTTATTCATATTACTTACTAAGCATAAATAGTTATGATTTCAACTATATTTTCTTTCTTAGTTTTCAATCATTTTTATTTGTTGAAATGTTTATGATATATATATGTATAGTTTTAATAAATAAAAAATAATCTATAAACGCCATATCTATTTTAATTATCAATTACATGTAAACAAAATAGAGGTAAAAATGTTCATTATCTAAAACGACGATCTCTAGAACGAGACCTATGTCGAACGCGTTCTCTCGATCTCTCCCTGTGGCGATCGCGAGACCGGTCGCGGTATCTTTCACGATCACGGTCGCGGTCTCGGCGATCACGGTCACGATTGCGATCGCGATCCCTATCATCACGTCTAGCTCGATCTTTTGCATATCTGAAAATTTCAAACCATTTTTAAAATACAAATAGTTTTTCCGGCTTTGGAATACCAGTAATACTATTCTCTATATATAAATTGTTACTTATCTGAAACCCTGACAAAAAGTTGACCAGCATTTTGATTATGTAGTAACAAATAGCTAGGTTACAAGCAATAATTAATATCTTGATAAAGCTTTTAAAATATTTACCTATCTTTATCACCATCTCCATAATCTCTTTTGTCTCTGTCATCATGTTCTCTTCTATCAACATCCGGACGATTTTGGTTGTAATTGCTTGCATTACCTGTTTGGTAGTTAGCTGCAGGCTGCTTTACAGGTGCCATTTGCCTGTTGTGCTCTGCTAATCTAAAAAATTAAATAATTTAAACATAAAACTAAACACATTTATTTAATACAACATAACATTTAAACTAAATTATCTTACTTTTGCTCAATCTGTTTTTGAATAGGCACGGGAATTCTTGGAAACAAAGTGCTGAACCAATCTAGCTTAATGAGCATCTGACGTACTAAGGCACCAATGGTGGTTGGGCCACCTCCACCGGCTCTAGGGTCCACCTCTTCATCATCATCTAGGTAGTCCACATACCAATCAAAAAGATCTGCAGGTGGCTGAGTGTAGCGAATATACATAAAACCTGAATACAACAAAAGATTTAACATGATTTTATAATACATATATACAATTAATTAAATTCTATCTTATAAAAAAGTATTAATTACTATCTATACCCCTTAACTAACTACAGTATTTCTTGTCCAAGATAAGATATTAGTAAGAGTTAATTTATTAGTTTTGTCATGTGTTGCTTTGATGACAAAGTAAAATTAAATTGAAATACATTTAAAAAATATATCATACCTACCAAGAGCTCTGATGTAGGGTGAGTCTGAGTGTTGAAGAAGTCCATTCACCTGTTTACGAGTCAATCTCAAAGTATACAATTTGTACAAAAGGCAAAATGCAGTGGAAACAATACCTCCTGCACCTACTCCTCTTACCTGTGTCAAAAAATATCACATAAATTTATAGGAAAAATTAAAAGTTACATAAATGAATTTAAAATGACAAAGAAAGTAAGCTACAGAAATAAATTTATCTCAATTATTATTGAAAACATATAAAGAAAGTTTAAAAAATGTGAATAGAAACAGATTTCACAAAAGGATAGTTAAGATTATAAACAGTAAGTAACACAATAAATTTTAGTTCATTAACATACTCACGCCGCCACACATGCCGGTCTGGCCCGCCGTCTTGCGACTTCCCCGTTCCCATGGCTCCAAATGCTTCACTTGGTAGTATATTTCATCCACTACCTCATGGTAAGTTTTTAACTTGAAAAGATGAACTGCAAAGAGACCAATGGATTACTTAGACAAATGAAGACAATTTACAGCATGAAAGTCGCATCACAATATCTGCTGAAAAACCAAACCTCTGTGAGTTGTTAAGTTTGCTTACCTACCTTTGAAGTAGCTAGAACCTTGAATATTCGCTAATATTAAAGGGTTCAGATTCATAGTCTGTTCATTACCCCATATTGGTAGAACATTATGCTGCTTACTAGTTTTAGTTGGCTTTTGTTGATTGAAATCTGTAAAAAGGATGATGCATCATTTAGAAACACCCATAGGTACGCCACGACAAAATTATTTTGTTATTAGCACCTACCTTCCGCCTCTGACATATTCTCAACAAATAATACTTATCCTAAGAAATTTCAAATTTATAAAAGTTCAGTAGCTCTCGCCAACAAACTGTATTATGACAAACAAAATTTTCACGTTCAGAGCAAAGCCATTTTTACCACGCTCGGACACAACCACACACAACTGTCAAGTTATAACATCCAAAAAAAGTGACATTACTACAACATTGACATAACGACGTTTGACCGTCGAAATGACTGATTAGCGGATTTGATGAAAAGCATAAGTCCTCAAATTTGTCGACAGGAACTGTCATTTTCAAACAAATTTAGTTTTAGCCTTTCTACATAGTACATACACTACTGTTAAGGCATCTTGACTAGGGCCCTCAGTGCTTTGCACGGTAGATCGACACAACTCTTTAAATAACGAAACCGCGTTCCACAATTAAATTATTAAATCGTCAAATAAAGTACGATCTGGAATAATATATTTATCAAATCAAATATAACTGAAATTGATCAACTGCTGACACAGCTCACGTGGATTCCAAATCCTAACAGCTAAAGATGCGTAATACTATGGCGTAGGGATGTGACATTCTGCATAAAAAATCGATTTTTTTCCTAATTTTTGAATTAATTTCAAAATAAACACCCTAAATATTTTATTTTTCATGGTTTTTTTAATTAAATATAAACAATAGAAATTATAAACACAAATTAACGTTTAAGAATAATCAAAATCGAAATTAACTTAATCTCGTTTTGATAGATTTTGATAAATGCTGAGTGTATTCCTTTTCAGTAGCACATTGCAGTATTTTTGTTGCCTTTTTAATTGTATGTTGTCTTGTTCTGCTGAATAAATTTATTTTACTTTTAAATTATAGTGTTCCATTCAAACTTGAGTTTTTGTAAAATTAACTGCTTTTATCATCCTTTTGATGTTTTACAAAAAAACATCAATGTATCGAGTATATCAATACATCTTCAAAGAATCGGATTCAATGTATTGCATTGTAAACATCATTGTGTATCGAATATCCCTAATAGTTCGAGGTCCGGGTTATAAAAGACCAGACATAATATCGGGAGGTGGCAGATAAAAAATCGATTATGATTGATTTGCAATTATAAAAATAATCGATTATTAATCGATTATTTTAAATATAAAAATCGCGTAAAAAAAACGATTTTTACTTATAAAAAAATAGATTTTTTTAATAATCGATTAATTTTTCACATCCCTACTATGGCGCAATACACCAACAGCTGACTAGAATAATATTATGTATGTGTGAATAGGTGTAATCAATATTTAAGATAATGTCTTTGAATAATAAATCAGATTTGAATATTGCTCTGCCTTATTAATTTCTCGCTTCCTCTCAAAGTGGGGAAGACTACTTCAAGCCCTTAATCATCGTGGTGAGCCTGCTCTTGGTGCAGAGATCCCGTACTTATTTTTATTTCACTATTTATGTGTTAGGGTACGTCTGTATGGCTTAGGGATCCGTAGGGTTGTTAGGTTCTTACGTCTCACCCTCTCATATATTTTGTTATCTAGTGTAGCTTGCTCATACATACATTACATATACTATTAAGATACTCCTGACATTCAATACATATAAATTTTAAACACATATTTCACAGTCCACTGACTAGCAAGCTGTAAACAATACTTATCTTAAGTAATTGAAAGTATAAACAAATTTAGTAACACTCTCTCACTCTATAGTGTAAATTACAAAAATGAAACTAAGCGTTAAGTCGGACTCTCGCATGAAAAAATGTTTTTTTAAATCTCAGCCTAACTTTCCTGATAAATCTTATTAAGTATTGATTATATTAGTTACCTAAGGCCACAGGCTAAAGACATACCACAATATTCTTTAATTAAATTATCCCGATCGGTCGAGCTAGTTTACGGCCCATCTGACTTCGAATTACACTGACACTGAATTAGTGGCATGAAATTAATTTCGTGAGTCGTGACATTATTTTTACAAACAGTTTCACGTGAAATTCAATATTTTCGTAATGCATACATTAATTTCATGACTGCAAATGAGTTTCGTGGCCTTTTCTTTTTTGAATGAAATTAGTTTCATGCAACTAATTTCATGATTGAACTTTTTTCTTAATAGTCTTTTCTTATGTTAATGGAGAAGCATCTCTTTAGCTACATTGAGTATAGAAAAATAAAGCTTTAATGCTGATGGGGCCATGGTTACTGCGATACTGAGGATTTCACGACACTAATTATTTTATGAAATTACATTCGCATATATCGAAACTACTTTTGTGAAGCTGATTTTCCATTCATGCCACTAATTTCGTAATGTAATTCTGGCTTTATAGTTCTATGAAAGTTGATCAAACGTTTAATGGTGGCCATTCACGGGCGATCCATATGGCTTTCGCGCCACGGGCTCGATACTCGACGTCGCGCCGAGCCAAATTCATGCCATTCACGAACACGCCAGCGTGGCAGCGAGCCGTTCCATTTGATCATTTTGAGTGTAGGCGTCAATAGCACCGGACGTATTCATAATGAACTTAGATTCAGAAGATTAGTTTTATTTATCTACCATAGCGATTTGTCTAGTTTAAAAAAAAAGAAAGTGGTGTAAGGATTGGTTGCTGTAAAGATCGCAACTCACTTACATAAATTTAATGAAGGAGTTGACTTTTTTTTTTCTAAACTTATAAATAAATTGAATATCAAAGTCACGGTTAGAAACCATTGCGAAAACGATTTATATTAACAATGCGTCACGTGCTTCTCGTCCAACGGCTAAACGCAAACTAAAATCAAAATTGCGTGTTTGGCTCGCGATTATTTAATTGTCATTAAAATATTAAGTGTTGAAAATTAATATCTACAAATTATATATTTTTTTTAATTTATTTCTTCGATAGTACAATTAACGTGGCATTTCAATTTACAATTTGTCATTTGAGATTTCATAAATTCTCTTTACGAAATTTTAAATTAAAAAAATAGAATTGCTATAAGGTAATTCGACCTTCTCACTCTCTATCAATCGGTCTCAATCGCTATCTCACGTTTCTTCGACAAAAAACTGCACGTCATCGTGACGTTCCGTAAAAATTTTACCCTCATGCGCCTTAAAAGAAGTTTCACTTGAATAAAACTTCTAATTGTTAAAAAATATAAGTAATTGTCCTCTTTTCGAGCAAAAGTACCTATATGTGCAAGCATTAGCAGCTTGTTATTATAGAAAATTGGTGCACTGCAACTTTCTTTGTCATTTTAAATATTTGAAATAATGACCTCAGGGATGAAAAGTGCATGCTGAAGCCACTAGGGCAATACTGCTCCGTATTAAGTTATATTTATATCTATACAATCAAAGTTCCAAATAAATGGCAATAAAAAAGATTAGACGTGGATTCCGTCGTTGCGGGTATAAGTGTTTACACGTGTTTCGGATATCATTATTTAGTATTTTCTATTTTTTCTCGTAGTTTAATGAATATAAGTTGACTTATCCTATTGGTGGTGGTTAATTAATAACATCAACTAATTACGTAAGTTATTTTTATTTATTTGTTATATTTCTCCCTTTACCTTGTTATATTTTTGGTAGTTTATAATGGAGAAACGCCCTCCAGACCCCCCTGATCCTCCGGATAGGGTCTCTTCTCCGGTGGAATCAATGGATTTATCCACCCCACTGTTGCCCCAACCTGGTGTCAAGCGCAGACTTGATACTGTCAATGAATCTTTAGTGGATCCTTCCAAAAAACCAATGACTGATGTCCGGTCATCTGTTGATGACGTCAACCCGGGATTTTACTCCCATCCATCTCTCACTGGCTCTCCCAAGTCATACCTTGTCAATGACAAGGGCCCTTTTTTTAGTCCATGTTTCTTGCCCTGAATCTGACCCATCCGCCGGTACATCAATCCGCCCAATCAAATTTGGTCACTTCTTGGTAAAAAATAAAGTAAGTAACATTGTTCGTGATGGTGTTAAAAGAGTGGGACGTAACAGAATATCTGTTGAGTTTAAGTCGGGTTTAGATGCTAATAATTTTGTGTCTAATCCCATTATACCTTCCAGCAATTATTCTGTTACGATTCCTAATTACAATGTTTCCCGTATGGGTCTTGTGAGAGGTGTCCCAGCTGATTGGTCGATGCAAGAATTTGTCGAAACCTTGGAAATTCCTGAAGGTATTGGTATAGTCCTCAAGGCCAGACGCCTAAACCGCAAGACAAACTCCGAGGGTCAAATTAATTGGATCCCAACGCAAACCGTTGTTCTAACTTTTCAAGGTCAAACCCTTCCGGAGAGAATATTCTCTTGTCATAGTTCCCTCCGCGTTGAAACGTACCAACTTCCAACAATCCAGTGTCGAAACTGTTGTAGGTTTGGGCACGTAAAATCACAATGCCGATCTAAGCCTAGGTGTTTTCGTTGTACACTAGCCCATTCTGGTGATGATTGTAATATCCCTGAATCAGAGTCACTATGTTTATTTTGTACTGCCTCGCACTATGCGACCAACAAAGCTTGTCCTGAGCATAATCGACAAAAAAACATAAAGAGTTGTATGTCTCAGGAGAGCATTTCTTATCTCGAAGCATCGGCTCGGTAGACCTATCAGTGGCAAAACTTTTGCAGACTCTGTTAAAACAACGCCCTCCTCTTCATTCAGTTTATCCCAGCCCATTATTATACCTTCCCAAGTTTCCCGTCAGACAACATCATACAGGAAAACGGTATTTCTCCCTCCTCGCTCTAGGCCAACATCAGGAAAATCCTTTGATAAGGCGGCCCATGAGGCCATTACTTCCAATTTACCCTCCTCTTTACCCAATGGTTGTGCCGTAAGCTCCCCAACCCTTATCAACAATGAAGTCTCCCCAAATGAAAATCTTCTTGACTGCTTATGGGCAGTCATTTGTAACATGCTATCTAAATATGATGACATCCCCATACCGTCCCACGTTGCCCAAAAAATTAATTTGCTCCACTCATTCGTCACCAAAAATGGCGAATCTA